ATTTGTTAGACGTATGGACGATAACAGTTATTTTTCTTATAACGTTATAAAAATATCTACACTTACTATATATTAAAAGGCGTTAGTCACTAAATTATCACCATATTACATGTTATTCGTCTTGATTTGGGACTGGTTTAATCAATCTGGTCAAGTCTAGTCCCAATTGATGTAACTAGCCTATCTCCGGTTTAGTTTGGAGTGATGTGGAGTGTTTGACCAGTGAAAAGTCCTATTTTCATTAATATTCATCTTGTACTTCATATCCTTTTTACCGGAGCTTTACTCTCTCCCTTGTCCACTGAAGCGTACTCCGATTCTACATTGAAGCGGCTTCTGAGCTATTTATCCTCCATTGAAGTAGCTTCTGAGGTAAGATTTTTATTTTCATTTCTTTAATCATCGTTTTAATTTTACAATCTAGGGTTTAGTTTCACACTATCGTTATTAATTGTCAGTAGGGTCAATTTAGGGTTCTTCCTAGATGGATTGTTGAACTAATATTTGTTGTAGTTACTGAAGTTTGAAAGATTATAACGAGTAATCTTGTTGCTAGAGTTTTTCAATGTGCAATTTACTTTGATTTTTGTAAACCGAGATAAATTTATGTGAGTTTTCGAGCCTAATTTGATAATTAAGTCAAGTTTTTTGCTAATTCGATTATTGAGTCAAGTTTTCTTGCGAATTTGATGATTGAGTTAAGTTTTCTTGCTAATGTGTTGTAAGAATTTATAACACTCAAGTGTTAGGACAAAACTATGGCAATGGACCTTATCTCCATGACAACCACATTTGATGCTGTACATTTAGTATCCTGAATGATTTTGTGTGGATTTAGAGGTTATTCAATATGTTCAGATTAGCGACAATAGAATTAGCTTAATCGAAGGCCATGTAAATTGATTTAGTAGCAATAGGTGGATAACATCATATATGATGGCTCATATAATACCTGGTCTGCATGTTTGAACTTTTGAAGCACCGTCTACAGATCTACACGATTGGAGAAGCCATGTCTCTTACCTCTTGTGTGAAGAAAGATTACCAGCTTTGATCAATTTTCACGGACTGAACCTTGCAAATCTAAAGATCCACTAACTTGCCACAACCTTTAACAGCTTGGTCCTCGTAAAAATTGTCTTTAGCTTTCCTTAATTTGTTCGAATTTTGGCAACCGATTCATTCCTGTGGTGTAGTTTATATATGAGAGAAATGTCTCAATATTGAAGATATCCAAAGAGAATGAAGGCCAATGAAGAAACGGGTGCTTGTTTTGGAGAGCGGAAGGGGGGGGGGGATCATCGGTGGCTCTGAAGTGGGTAATGTGTTGGTGCTTAATCTGAAGGCTGTTATAGGGTCTTAGGCAAAAGGGAAATGAGTAAACTGTACATCCTTTACAATCTACATGTATGGAGTTTGTTTGAGGTTCTACTTTCAATCTTGAGTTTATCAACCATGTGCCCCATATGTTAGCTGTTGTACGATTTGGCCATTGGTGGGCAGCAAGTTGGTTTAAGTGCTGACTTTTTCCTGGGTGGGGTTTGCCTGTTTGGTCTAATTCTTTGGCTCCCCATACCTGTATTCTGTTTGGCTAGTGATTTATGTTGGTAGTTTGGTATTCTTTTCTGTGCCTAATAGAGTGCTCCATTTAGATAGTTATTGACATTTCTGTTCGAATAACTTAATCTTGGTATTTTAGCTGAATGTTCTGGTGATAACTCTGGCTTCTTTGTCCAAATCACTCTTTCAAAAGAAACTTATAAATTTTTTGGGATTGAATTTATACAATGCTATAAATTTTTTATGATGTGGAAGTTGTATTTTAATAGCTAATGGCTAATAAAAACTCTTATACATTTTCTATACATTTAGAAATTGTCAGGTGAAGATTTTGTACTTTATAACCTGTGTACTTATACATTTGCTATACATTTAGAAATTGTCAGGTGAAGATTTTGTACTTTATAAACCTGTGTACTTATACATTTGCTATACATTTAGAAATTGTCAGGTGAAGATTTTGTACTTTATAAACCTGTGTTCTTCTATTTGTTTGATCACTGAGGAAAATATCAAATAGGTTGATGGCCATCTCTTTTCTTCTTTATTGCTTATCATATATGAGCTGATTATTGTAGTTGTATTTCTTAAATTTATGTAGCAATGTTCAATACCTTTGATATAAACTGTAATACTAGATATTTTTTTTATTAAAATGTGGTTTTAGTAAAATGTGGACACATGTATCAGTGTATGCACACATACATGTATGTACAATAACACACTGTTATCAGTTGATGTGGGAAAAAATATCCCTTTCTTTGCAATGGATGATGTAATTGGATTGAAGTAGCGGAATTAGTGAATTTCATTTCCTTGTTTGCACTTTTAAATAAACAGGAGACCTTGCATTTTTCTGCCAGATCTGATGCATTCGTGCTTCCCTATAATCATGTGTGTGTGTGTGTGTGTGTGTGTGTGCGTGCGTATGGGTGTGTGTTTCTATATTCTTTGGAAGCTACAGTGTCTGGATTGCTGGAATAGATAACTACTGTAGTCAATTTTGTTTATGTGCTAGTGTGGCGCTTTTTCTTAAATTTTTTTTTTCCTGATCCTGCATTTTCATTTGAATATCTGCTGGTTGATCCCCTTTTTTGCAGGCTTAGTATCCAAGTTTGCGAACACCATGATTTGAACCAAGTACATTTCCTACCAGGGCTTGATAGCTGGTTGCTGTTTGCCATGGCGCCTAAAGCTTAAGCCACATACTTTGGTTTCTGCAAAAAAACCAGCTTAACTGATTCAAATGGTGACCAATGTCCCCATTCCTACAAGGTAGCAACAATTTAATCATTGAGGTTTTGAATATTGTAACCTGAATTGCTTGTCTAGTGGTCCATCACCACTCTTCATTCCTACTTTTTGGCTTGTAGGATTTGTCCACACTATCTTCTACAATTGTGAACAGCTTAATCTGATACAAACTTAAGTTTTACACATAGCAATGGCTGCTGCTGATACTACAACCTATGATGAGAATTCTGAATACGTTGATCCTGATTGGACTGTTGTCCTACCTTGGAAACGTAGAAAATGTCAGTCTAAAGTGTCTCGCACAGAGCAAGAGGCAAAAGAACAGTCATTCACCCCACCTGACCTTGAAATCAATCAAGAGAGGGAGTCAAAATTATTGCAGAAAATTGAGACTTGCTTGAAGAAACTTGAGAGCTCCAAGTTTTTTGACCTTTTCTTGAGTCAGATTGAAGACCCTGAAGTCTTCAATTGTTTTTCCAGGGTTTTAGGGTCTGAACCAAATATGAACATGGTGGTGTATGGTATAGGCAGCATTGAGTCTTATGAAGCCCCACGGTTGCAGCTTTGTTTAGTGATCTTGATGAAGAGAAAGTTTGAATGGATAGGTAATATTGAGGTATTTGATCCAGTTCTTTCTGGGACTGAAACCCGTGTTCTGGAATCTTTGGCTGTTCTGTCATGTCAGTGAATGAGGAAGGTAGAAGACAGGCTTTAAAACCCACATTATTCTTCATGCCTCATTGTGAGGCTTTATTGTATCACAATTTGCTAGAGGTAAATTGGAATGTAGATATGTTGAGAAACATGGCGCTATTTGGGAACAGTTTTGAGTCTTACGAACATCACAATTCTGTAGTCAAGGACTACATAGCTTCTCCGTACACGAAGCGTATCCTGGCTTCTGGAAGCTTTGCGAAGGAGTTCAGAGTCAAAACAGGGCCAGATGATCATAATAGAGCCTTTTATGAATCCAGTTGGCTTTTTTTCAACCCTAATGATGTGCATGAGGTGCCCATTATCTAGTTAATAACTGAACCTGTAAGTGTGTGTGTGTGTGTTAGCTGTCAACTTATTGCATTATTAAACAGCACAAGTTTGTAGCAGGTGCACAACACAATTGTTTTATCATTTGTAACTCTTTCATAACATGTATCGGAACTGTTTCACACATCACCGGCGATTTTGCTGTGAATCCTGTGAATGTTTATTCATCATTTGATAAATGGCTTGACCCAGGTTATTGATCAAGAACTACACGAACATCTTCCTCCTAATGTATGCCTGCATGAGTTTGATTCTTTCCCTTAATTTTCTTTTAATAATGTGCATAGAATGATAATGTTGTTACCCGCTCTATTTCAATATACCTCTGTCGCAAAATAGCAGTAAAATCTTAGATTTGGCAGTATTTTTTTTTTCTTTCTTTTTTTTGAAGGAAACTCAGCAGTAATAAAAACAGTCAGGGAACCTGTACTGAAAGGTTTCTTGCCATGCATTTGGGTACTAGTATGTGTGCCACCACTGCGTAGGTGTTCAAATACATCTAGTAAGCTTTTGAGCCATGCTTGAGTACCTCTCGGCTCGCGCAGCTTAACAATTATAATGAGAATATATAAAGAACAAAATTCATACTTATTTTCTAAAAAAAGTTAAAAAATGAATTTTGAAAATCTGAAGGCAAATGGAACTAGTAATTTGGTAAAGGACTTCTGGACCACAATCACAGGGCTTCAATTTGTGCACTAGACTTTGGTGTTACCTGCATTTTTGTGTGGCACAAAGTGTATGTAATCTGTAATGGACGGTTGCTTTGTCTTCGGGTGAAAGTAGGACAACAATTAATTTAAATAAGATTTTCACTTTTTAAAAAGATTTTTACTTGTTTGGTTGTTTTTATCATACATCCATTAATTGATCTTTGAATTTTGAGGGGACATAGAATCATGACATAATAAACAATTGATTAGATAAGGTATTTAAGTAGTACTTTTCTTCATAATGTGTTATAAAATTTCATTAATGTCATCTAATGTATTCTAAGTCACTTATTATTTGATACACTTATTTTTAATACTGGATGAACATTGATCAATCTCATACACAATAATTCAACTCACAAGTCACAACCATATTAACCAAAGTCTAATTAAATTTCAATACTATGTTAAATTGAGCATAATCGAATTTTGACAACTTATCTCATGCTTTAATCATCAAAAATCAAAATAACACAATCATAACAAAAATATTAAAAACTTTGTATAATCATTACAAAGACACACATTCGTGAAGTTTGCAATAAAATTAAAAAATATTTCTTAGAAAAGTCTTTCACTTACCAATAATTTCCAATTTTTTTTTAAAAAAAAATTAATATAAAAACGAGCCTTCCAAAAAAAAAAAACAAAATAATACCGAGTATCCGTTATCTAAAACGCGTCGGCCTTGACAGTTGACACTTACGCTCTCTCTCTCTCCTTTCTCCAACTCAAACAGTAACTATATTTGAAAAAAACAATCTCTCAAAAAAAAAAAAATGATAAAACAAAATATGATGAAATTACGGATCTACCCTTTTCTCTCTCCTCTAATTTGTCTCAACTGTCTAATGTATTCTTCTTCTTCCTTTTCCTTTCCTTCAAAGGCAGCTCTTTCCACTATTTTCTTTCCCCTTTTTTTTTTCTCTCTCCTAAACCAACAAAAAAATCCTACTCCCTAATTCTTCCAGAAAAATCCCTAAATAAAATTCACAAAATCTCAATTATCAACTATATCTTTGATTTTATCAATTATCAATCTTAATTTTATCCCTAATTTTTTCAATTTTAATTTCTTGATTTTTTTCTTTAATTTCGGAATTTCCCCCTTTTTCAAACCCTAAATTCTCATTTCCATATCCCAAACCCTAATTTGGCAATCATTTTCCTTTCTGATTGTGTAATTAGTTCTGTATTTATTGATTTTGAGAGGAATTGAATAAAAACCCTAAAAAAATTAAAAAAAATATGGCGAGTTTCGAAGAGAATCGCGAGTTGTCGACTAGCAAGCCATCGATTTCGTCTAAGAATTCTGTGTTTAGTCGGTCAATGACGACGCATTCTTCCGTCGCAAATACCTTCTCGAAGAAAGGATACGTTTCGTCTGCCGCTTCGACGGTCGTTGATCGAAACGCGGCAAATATGAAGAAGTGGTACAACAATACCTTTGATTCAGCTGGTACTTCAATCAAAGGGAAGGTTAGGCAGCTTCGAAATTTGTTTGAATCTCAAAAATCATCAAATAATAATAATAATAGTATTGTTAAATGTAATTCCCAAAAAGTTGAAGAATCGCCTTATAATCATCATTTAGCAAAATTGAGACCTGCTAAATCATTTAGTTCTGATTTTAAGGATTGTTGGTCGATTTTAGATGTTTCTACGATTCGATTTCCGGGTACGGAGGATAGAGTTGTGGTATATTTCACTAGTTTGAGGGGAATTCGGAGAACCCGGGAGGATTGCGATGCTGTCCGGATGATTTTCCGGGCTTATAAGGTGTTCGTCGATGAGAGGGACGTTTCGATGGATGCTGCGTATAGGAAGGAGATACAGGGGTTGCTTGGTGAGAAGAATGTGACATTGCCACAGGTTTTTATTAAGGGGAGGTATGTAGGTGGGGTTGATTTGATCAGGCAGTGGAACGAGACCGGTGAGCTTCAAAAGATTCTTCAGTCATTGCCAACGAGGGATAGGCGGTTCGTGTGTGATAGTTGTGGTGATGTGAGGTTCTTGCCCTGCTCCAACTGTAGTGGTAGTAGGAAGATATTCGACGAGGATGAAGAGGTCATGAAGAGATGCTTGGAGTGCAATGAAAACGGGCTGATTCGATGCCCGGAGTGTTGTCTGTGAATTACTCTTATGATCACTACTTATGTGATGCAGGTATATTGGTGTGGAAATGATAATTCAGTAGCTAGTTTGTGTGTTTTTAGCTTATGGTCTGGCTTGAATAACCCCTTTTTTACGGTTTCAGCCTTATCGTGGAGATTTGGTTGTACATTGTTCATAGATTCGTGATGAACAATAATTATATATGGCACTGATTCAATGATACTTTATAGTATGTACTGAACTAGTGTGACTCCTTGCCGAAAAAAGAAAAAATTAAAAAAAAAATTATTCAAACATATTGAATAGAGGAGATTAGCATATTAGTGCTGGTGTGCTCCATTGTAGCTTGGGAGATGATGGGCATTTCCCTTGACTTGCAGTGTAAATTTACTATGTTGTATATATTAATGACTTTTTTTTTTTTTTCCTTTTTTCAATTGCGCTAACTGAAGCTGTTGTAATGAGAAGGGCTATACTATGGTTTTTGCCCATTGGAATGAATGAGAATTCCTTTGAGCTTTTGACTCAATTTTGTGACTCAAATTTCAGTGTTTTATGTCCTATGACATGATTATATGTTTCTGTTCTCTTGAGTAATAATTTACTCTGTTTAAACTTTTGCTAGCAGCGACTTGCTAATTGTTTCACTTGTATGAACCTGTGGCTTTTGTTGAATCATTTTGGGCTAGTGTGGAGTTGTAGTGACCTTTTACACAGATCTTGTATGAACCTGTGGATTTTGTTGTAATGGACTGATCTTTTAGTATCCAACTTAGCAAGATCTGTGGTAAACGAGGGACGAAAGAAAATTTATCGCAAGCACACCTTCAAGCAGCCTCTACTCAATATTTTGCTGATCTTTGTGTTTGACATCTTATTAGTATGCTGTGTGTTGCTGAAGTGTGTTTTATTTCCCCATTAGGCTCTGTTTTAGTTGTTATGTTGCATGCGTGACCTACGGCCTTGTATTTTGTGAATGTATATACATTGACAACATTGTGATCAATCATCTTTAGAATTGTATAATAAGTACTCAACTTGTTTATCTTTCTTTGCTGCATAGTTGGCCATTTTCAGCACGTTCTGACCAATTCTCTTTTGAAGTGTCCATGTCAATGTTGAAGTGTAAAGTGCACGAACATCAGAACATGGATTGTTAAGTTGAAACAGAAGTTCATGTAATCTTTTAATAGTCTAAACAATTTGGTCTATCTGTTGTTTCCTCTTCCTCTCCCCTGATTAAATAAAAGCCCCACTCTGTTTTTTCGAACGGATGATGTCAATGACCTTTTTTGTGGTGATTATGCTGTGTTGAATGTAATGAGATAAGGTTGCCATAATTTTCACTCTGCTGAAAGGTAATATCATATGTAGTACTGTCAAAACGGTTTGACAGTTCGGTTTCGGTTCGGTTTGAAATGGAGTCGGTTTGAAATCGGTTGAAGTGGCTTACGGGTCGGTTTAAATAATTATCGGTTCAATTTGGTTTCGGTTTATTCTTAAACAGTTTAAAAACGGTCCGAGTAGTAACGGGTTCGGTTCAAACGGCTTGCGGTTTGTTAACGGGTCGGTGTAAACGGTTTTTATACTGGTCTAAATTTGGTTCGGCTAGTAAACGGTTCGGTGCAGACGGGTTGCGATTTGTTAACGGTTTGTTGTAAAAGCTGATACTACATCACTTCATATTGAGGCATCATATTATATGCAAATTCTCATTAGTTTTATAAATACATATCATGTTATATTTCAAGTTTATCTATACTGATCTTACTAGTTTATTACGAAGTAGATTATAAAAGTTTAGTGCATTAATGTATTATTGTTTTACTATCCGATTATTATCTGTTTCTTATTTGATCATTTAATTAATAGTGTCAATTAGAACTGGTTATTGGGCGGGTCGGGTCAGGGTCGGTGCGGGTCAGTTGCGGGTCGGGGTCAAAGAGGGTCACATTTTACAGGGTCAATATAGGGTCGGGACAATGCGGGCCGCGGGTCGATAATGGGCGGGCCTACAAAATATCAATTAAAATAAATATTGGACAAAGTCATTATTAAATACATATGAATACAAATTAATCTATATAATTATTTTTACATTATGTATTTTCTTTATCAACTAAATTAGAAAAACATGTTGACCCTATATTGACCCTACCCAATAAGGGCTCTGTCCATTAATAGCCCTGTCCATTAAAAGCCCTATAAGATTGTCCCTGACCCTATTATCATTGGGCTACCCTGTCCAATAACCACCTCTAAGTGTCATAATCATGATTTGATGAGTTGTTGTGACATCGAAATTTGCAATTTGGTATTCGATATGTAATTAGTCAACAAGACTGATAATTTAGACTCGTTTATCGTTATATATGAAGATATTACAAAGTAATTTGATTTGTATGATGAAAGAAAACATTAATGAATAAGAACGTAATATTGATTCTTTCAATCGATTATACATATACATATACATAACATCTAACCATCTCATAGGCATGAGAATCATAAGATTATTATATCTTTGTATACCTTTACTGATTTACATCTAAGGCTTAAGTCACTAATTAGTAATTAGTAATTACTTAATTAGACTAACAAGTTAATAAGAAAGAGTAACTTTTAACTTGAGTATAATAGATTAAATACAAAAATGCTATTAGTATATTACCGAGTAGGACAGTCTATTACATTGTTAATTTGTTATGCAATTATGCTAAATTGACAATTGCTCATATAGTCATAATAGTCGATCACTCATGTAGTCATATCTAACTAAGTAATTTGTATTTATGTACTAATCTACTAGTCAATTCTATTATTTATAAGTTTACATGATTACAAGTGTATTGCTTACAGACACAACTAAACTGATATAAATATAATCATATAACAAATCCGTAGTACTTCTAACTCTCTAAGATATGACGTCATTATATTATTGTACGGTCTTTGATTTTTTTATTAATCGCAACGCTATACATTTACACGCTAACCGATTAATATTTTATAATTTAAATTACTTAATAAGTTAATGTGTGTTAAAAAAATATAAAACCTGATATTATGAAGGTATATATCATTTTATCAGGATTCGAGAAATGTAATTATTTTTTTTGAAGCCATGTAATTAATTAATTGTATAAAAGTTTGTTTAATGTTTTTAAAATAAAATGAAAATAATGATTTTTACAAAGTGAAAAATTGATTTCATTTTTTTTTTGGTTGATAATTTCAACAAAATATAAATGGTGGTTTGTAAACGGTTTGAATTATAATCGATTCGGTTCATAAACGGTTCGGTTTATAAGCGGTTCAGTTTATAAACGGTTCGGTGCAAATGGGTTGCAGTTTGTTATCGGTTTGGTGTAAACAGTTTTTATGTCAGTTCAAACGGTTTTGGGTTAGAATCGGTTCGGTTCATTTTCGGTTTCCTTTCAGTTCGGTTTAGATTTGGTTCAGTTTTAAACGGTTTAACGTTTACTCGGATCGGTTCAGTTTCGGTTTTACTAACATGCAGTTCGGGTCGGTTTTCGATTTCATAAAATCGGTTTTTAATCGGTTCGGTTCTCATTCTGATCGGTTGAAACAGTTCGGTTTCACCAGTTCGGTTCGATTTTTGACAGTGCTAATCATACGTATTGAGTTCCCTTGACCGCGCTCTTGCTGGCATCTACGTTGCATTGTTGTTATTGTTGCTGCAGCACAGTTATATCGAAGGTTTTTGATACTGTTTGTTTTAATAACCTTAACTAATATTTGAATCTACTACCTCGCACTATTTCTGCCTTTTCAAGATATTCAGGCAGATTATGTCAATTATTATGAAACAGATGGAGGAGGGGAGTATTCCAAAACCATCTTTAAGAAAATCACATGATGAAGAAGAAACAAAGCGGGAAAACGCCATTTAAATTTCGATGAAAACGGAGTTTTGCAATATCTCCCAAAAGGGTACAACTGTACAAGATTGTGTAATCAATCTGCCAAACAACAAGGAATCAACACAGGCTTCAATGTTGCACTGATGTGAGCAACACAAATTAACGTTGTTGTTATCAATGATTGTGTAGAATGGTGTGATCTAGGGATCATCTGCTTTTGCCTAGGGATAACTTCATTCCCTTTCTTAGAATCTCTGCCAATCTATGTGCCCCTGGCTTCCCTTTACTTTTATTTATTTATTTATTTATTTTGACAGGAGGCTTCCCTTTACTTCTTTACTCCTTAATACAAGTAATTTTATACTGAGTTTTAGAAAAGTAAAATAAAATACTTCAAACATAATTGAAGCTTACTCAAACACTTTCAATCAAATTCTTATGAAGGGGTGGAAAATAATTAGGAAAAAAAGTGAAGAACTTTTTAAGTTGTAGTTTAAACTCTTGCAGTCTTTTCTATGATGAATACACTCTTTTTTCTTAAATATATAATGATGAATCACTCTCAATAGTTTTGAGTTTGAAGTTTCTTGTAAAAGACGTTGAAACCTCTATTTGGATCGAACTTGAATTTATTCTTGTCAAAACTTAAATTTTGTCCATTTAAAAAAAATAAAAAAAATTCACTTGTTTTTGCATGTCTTAGTGCACACATCCACAAGTAGCATTTGTTTTGTATTTACATAAACTATTAAAAATTGATATTTTAATAAAAAAAATCATTGTATCGAATTTAACAAATATACTACTACTAAGTAAATTAGTAAAATTGTACATTTAAGTTTCACTTTTTATCGTAAATATACTACTTTTATTTTAAAAAACTTATCAAAATAGGAAAAAGTGTACCACTCCATTTTGACAAAAGTTGCAACTAATAATAGAGATAATACATTAGATATCATTCATGCCTGGTAGTTGAGTGTTTTTATCAAATTGTATGCAAACCATTTCTTTAGTAGTTGAGTGAATTGTGCAAGTGAGGTAGTTGTCTAGTAGTTGAGTGTTTTTGTCGTTCATGCCTGCTACAGTTTGATTCTATTCTCACCAAGGTTAGGACTTGAAAGAGAAAGGTGTAACCTATATTAAAATGAACCGAGATTATCAAATGAGCAAAAAACCCTTGAGTTTAAGTAAAAATTTTCAAAGATGGTGGTTATTAATGGCTGATTACTATGAGAACACAAGCTAAATCCTATGGGTTAAGTAGTTAAGGGGGCTAAATGTCACTTTTGAAACTAGAGGATTTATTTGCAGCTAATTGCTACTTTGGCTAAACAAGTCTATCTTAGAGGTAGTATTCATGCTATACTCTAAGAGTATCTATTATGAATAACTATATCCCTTTATAGCTTTGGGTTACCACATTATTAATTTTCAAACTATATCATTTAAGCTACATACAACCTCTACATTACATGGTAAGTTATTAAATTAGTCTTCTACCCGTTGCAAAATATAAACAAAATAAAAAAGAGAAAATATATGCAAACAAAGAAACCACAAACAATTTATTCATTTAAAGTGGACGACAATACATGCTTTGGGTGAAGTGTAGAGCTATGTAGTTTCACCAAAGCTACAACCCTTGTAGCAATGGTGAGCTACTAGCCTACTAACTTCAATGTTTAAAAATTGCAAGCAAGGACCTAATTACAACCATTGTGATGGTTTAACTAGGTTAAATCTTTTGCAGTGCACGAATATTAAATATTACTAATTTATTAAGTTATAATAAATCAGTTCACCAAGTATTATAACGTATAAAATATATTAAAACAATATAAACATGTGAAAGAAAATATTTACAATAAGTACTTCTTATGTAATAGTTAATTAGTTATAATGTGCAAGTTGATAATTCAAGAGGTTTTATACAAAGTAAAAGTATTATTTATAAATACAGTCCTTATTTTTATTAGCATGTTTTCTATGTGACTAGTGTTACTTATTCATTGGTTACTCGGTCGGTCAAGGGTTACTTGACCGATCAGGGGTTATTAAGTTGGTTAGAGGTTACTGGGTCGGTCAAGAGTTACTTGGTCAGTAATAAGTAACCTCGGTCGACCACACGGTATGACTTGTCACATATAAAACTGTTTATTTTTAAACAATTTTTTTTATATATTAGTTTTGGAGGAATTTTTTTAACAATACGTTGCCAAACATCCTTCAGTGTGCTTTTAATATGTATGTATGAAAACAAGTTCAGCTTATTGTAAAATGAAGGAGAGAATTCAACAAAAATACTCGTACATAAAGTGATACAAGTAATCGGCCCTTGTGAGTACCCACATTTTACATCAAATAATAATTCAGTTCTCCACTTCTTTCCACATTTCATTCACAATCACACGTTTTCTGTATTTCCAACTATTCTTATCTATAATCTTTCTGCTGTTTTGAACTTGATTCCCCCCCCCCCAAAAAAAAAAAAAAAAAAAGAAGAAAAGCAAATATGGCAGTTGTAGAGATGGTGGTTTCAGCAATGTTTAAAGAAGTGTTAGATAAACTGGTCTCTGAAGGAGTGAAGCAGTTCGCGAAGCTGATTAACAAAGGAAAGAAATCTGAAAACAAAATAAAAATCCAAGAATGGAAGGATGAGCTGGAGACGATTCAAGCGGTGTTGATTGATGCTGAACGGAAGCAATGCGATGAGCAACAGGGAGCTGCAATCAGGTTGTGGCTGGAGAATCTTCAAGACTTGGCTTTTGATTTGGAGGATCTTTTGGACGACTTTGCCCTTGAAGCCCTCAAAATGAATCAGGGTAATAATGATGTTCATCATTTCAAGAAGAATGCTCGTGGATTTCTTCCAACTTCCTTCCATAATATGGTTTGTACTTCTATTTTTATCTACTACTAGTCTACTACATAGCAATTTTTATGGGTTATATATGCTCCATAGCCTCTCCGTTTTACAAAGTGTTACATTTTAGTCGATAAAAAACCGCACATAATAAATACGATGATCTTATTTGAATTTTTTTTTTAATTTTTTGAAATAAGTAACAAAAATAAAGTTAATTAAACATGGCTTTAATAAAACATGGTTATATGGTGTCTTGTTAGATTCATCTCCCAACATCTAGTTTCAAATATATATTTTTTTTAAATAAATTTCTTGTATTCATAGACTCCATAGAGTTTTATGAGAGTCTATTTGCACTAATATTATAGTAAAATAACAATACGATGGTAACAAATAAAAAAAAAAGTAGTGTGTGAGAAAATAATTTGTTATTCACAGAGAAGGAAGGCTATCATATTTTAATACAAGTTTAATTTTAATAGTTTATTTGCTTTTTTCTTGAATAAATTAGCTGTAGAACTTTAGCATAGTTTCAACGCATCATTTGCATGCATCATATTAGCTTATAAACTTTAATCAATCAGGTTGGCAGTGTTTTGGCGTGTGGATGTAGTACTACCCGGCAAATTGGATACTCTGGTCCAGACTTTTCATCAAGGATTGATGAGATAAGTAATGCCTTGAACAAGATTCGAACCCGGGTTCCGACTTTGGGTCTCATATCCAACAACTTGAGGCTACCAACATACGCAGTAGAGGTGCAGCAACGAAAGATGCCAGAGACCTCTTCTTTGATAAGTGAGCCTCATGTTCACGGGGGGGATGGTAGGAAAAAAGATATCATCTGTCAATTGTTGGAAGATAAACCAAGTTATGAGAATTATGTCGTGATCCCTATCGTTGGAATGGGAGGCATTGGGAAGACTACTCTTGCTCAGTATGTCTACAATGATGAAGAGGTGAAGACTCACTTTGCTCTTAAGGCATGGGTGTGCGTATCAGATGCAATTGATGTGAAACGCATAACAAATGATATCATCAACTCGGCCACCCAAGACAATTTTGATTGTAGCAACCTGAATCAAGCACAAAAGAAATTGCAGCAAGTGCTAAAGGACAATAAATTCTTGATTGTTCTTGATGATGTTTGGAGTGAGAATTATAAAGATTGGGTCCAATTAAGGACACCTTTTCATGGTGCAGCAAGAGGTAGCAGAGTTATAGTCACATCAAGAAATGATAAGACTGCAAAGAAGATGACTACAAATCACAGCACTATCATCCATTTAGAAGGTTTGTCAGATGATGATTGTTAGCTTCTATTTCAACAACATGCAAATATAGATGATTTTGAGATAAAGGATGACATTGTACGAAAATGCAAAGGATTGCCATTGACTGCAAAAACCCTAGGAGGTCTCATAAAATGTACTGCAGAGAAGAGCAAACGTCGAGAGATATTAGAGAGCAACGTTTGGGGTGAGCAATATGAGGAATGTGATATTTTACCGGTTATAAGGGTGAGTTATCATTATCTGCCATCTTATTTGAAGCGAGTCTTTGCTTATTGTTCTGTACTTCCGAAAGATTATGTGTTCAGGGAGATGGAGATCATCCAATTGTGGATGGCTCAGGGCTTCCTACCACACAATAAAGATAGAAGAATGGAAGATATAGGCCAAAATTACTTCAATGATCTGGTATCAAGGTCATTATTTGAAAAACACAGAATATATAAAGGATTGTTCATCATGCATGACCTTATCCATGATGTGGCTCATTCTGCTGCAGGCAGCATATGCAATGTAATGGATGGCACGGATACACAAATGGATTTCAGAAGAACTCGCCATTTGTTTATCACCGAGCATGTTCAAACCTTGGGAAATCAAATTATGGCTTCTCAGTTGCGTACTTTTCTATGCAATTATGGTTCGAAAATGGACTATTCTGATTTCTTCAACAAAATCCGTTACATACGCACTCTATTTCTATATTCGGATGAAATTGAAGCTTTGCCAGAATGTATTGGTGATTTAAAGCACTTGCGCTACCTTAGTCTCGAATTTAGAAGAATAAAAGAGTTGCCACTTTCAATCAACGATCTTTGGAATCTCCAAACACTTTGCTTGGACGGATGTTCTAAACTTGAGAAGGTTCCATGTATTGAATCGCTTGGGAAACTACGCCATCTGTATATTGATGATACCTCTTTAGAGGAGATGCCGCTTGGAATCGGGAAATTAACAAACTTGCAGACTCTGGATACATTTCTGTTGGCGGGTGGAGGTTGGTCCAAGTTAAGGGAGTTGGGGAGGTTGAATCAGCTCCGTGGAAGATTAATAATCAAATCCGGGCTAAAATATGTGACAGAGGTTGAGGACGCAGAGGAAGCCCAGTTGTGTAAGAAAGAGCATCTAGATGGGTTGAACTTGAAATGGGGATCTTGTACTGATGAGGTCGATGACAAGACAAGAAGAGATGTGATTGAGAAGTTGCGGCCTCACACTTCCATCAAAGAGTGTGTGTTGGATGGGTACATGGGCTCGACATTCCCAAGTTGGTTGGGAGATTCCTCTTTCATTAACATGGTGGACATACAGTTGAAAAGTTGTCAGAATTGTGTATGCTTGCCTCCATTGGGGAAACTACCCTCATTGAAGATTCTTCTGATTAAATATATGAATGGTATTAAGGAGGTTGGTCTTGAATTTTATGGGAATTGCTCAACTCTTACTTTTCCATCTCTGAAGACTCTAGAATTTTATGGTATGAACTCCTGGAAGAAGTGGGTGCACCCTTTAATTGACAACAACGTATTCCCCAACCTTGAAGAGCTCTCTATTAAGGATTGTCCGTCATTACAAGGTGATCTACCTCCTCATTTGCCTTCTATTAGAAGGTTGGAAATCAATGGAGTCGAGCAGCTACAATCCTTGGAATTGAAGAATTCGTCTTCCTCAACTTCTCATCTTGAAGAAGTCATTGTTGGATTATGCAAATCTATGGTCTCTATTGGTCAAATTCCCTTGACTATAAAATCGCTGAGGATTAAAAATTGCGAGAAACTAGGGTATGTAGAATTTGATGAACAATCTAAGAATTTGTCTCGTGGAAGTGACTATGAGAAAGGCCTAAGGAGTGAAGAAAGCATAGGAGTCTCCTCGAAGGCTGCATTGGAACTTCCTCTTCTCACCGAATTGGTAATAGAAAGATGCCCAAGTCTAATATCATTACAGCAAAGCCTGCTTCTCCCAGCTTTACGACATCTTCGCTTAAATGAATGCGAAAATATGGAAAAGCTTCCTGGTGAATTGCACAATATTACCTCCCTCCAGAGCTTAATGATTGGAAAAAGCCCTAAAATCCATAGCTTAGCAGAAGGTGGTTTACCCAGAAACCTGAGATCACTTGAAATTGTAGAAGTGAACATAAAGCAGGCTGTAACAGAGTGGGAATTGCACCTCCTTCATTCCCTTGAAACTCTTAGGCTAATAAATGTAGGCAGCTCCACAGACTCAGTAGAGTGTATTCCGTGCCCACACCTTTCTCTCCCTTCTTCCTTGTCTTGGTTAGAAATCAAGAGTTTCCAAAATTTGAAAACCATATCATTCTATGGCAGCACCCTTCCCAACCTCACTCGTCTTTATGTTATAGATTGCCCAAGGCTTGAATCATTGGTTAGCAATTTGACCTCACTTAAATATTTGGAAATTGAAAATTGCCCAGAATTACACAACTTTCCCGAAGGAGGTTTACCCACAAACCTAACGGATCTGGAAATCAGAGGAACCAAGATAGACAAACCAATAAAAGAGTGGGGATTGCACCTTCTTACTTCTCTTGAATTTCTAATACTTGAAAATGTAGGCAGCTGTGTTGATACACTAGAGTCCATTAGCTATCCTGACTTTCCCTCTTCCTTGTGTTTGTTAATAATCAAGAGTTTTCAAAATTTGAAAACAATATGTTGTTCCACTCTTCCCAGACTACACGGGATGTTTATCAATTCTTGCCCCAAATTGGAATCCTTTGGTGACAATGGCCTTCCTCCACACATTGAATTAGTCAAGATTGAAGAGTGTGATATGATAGAACAACATTTGACAAGTGATCCCAATGGCTGTATATTTACAGAGAATGGACAATACTCGCTGCCTCTGTCTGGAAGTCAACCAAGCTCAGCCGAAACAAGTAAGTTTTACATATTTACATTAGCATACATGTTTCATTTTTTACATTTACTTACATTTTCATATCTTTCACATCTGACAGCTTGTTGATACAACACTCAACAATCAATGGAACTTCACTCAAACAAAAGATTATAAACTGGTTAGCATGAATTCAACCATCTCAGGCTAATTTATGCATTTTACTTTGCAATTTTTGTCTCTTTTCAGTCAAATTCTAACCAATCATTCACTCATTGATATATGAAGGTTTTTCTTAAAAGACATTTTCTTTGGCTGGATATAAATGTTATATGCAGTAGCTTAATATTTAAAGTAGGCTGATCTTGAAATTTCAGCATACCTGCATTCTCCCTTCCTCTTTCTGGAAGTCAACCGATCCGAGCTCATCCCATTCAAGTAAGCTTAATTAATAATGGTCTCACATTCATTTTACATTATACATCAACTTATGTATTAAATAAACCAATCCTAGAAATCAATAAAACTTCACTCAAGCAAAAAATCATAAATTCATTCAAGCTAATTGTATATGCCTTTTATGTTACAATTGTTGTCAGTTTTGAGTTTAATCAATCATTCAGTCATAGAATATATTTTAATTGTTTTTTTCTTTTTTTTTTATTGGGAATATAACAATATATGATTGTGCAAAGTACAAATTTTTTATGCAATGGATCTGTAAGTTTAGATATATAAAGGTATTTTCTTTTAAGGACATATTCTTTAGCTGATTATTATTTTCAGGTTTTCCGTGCACTGGCTTAATTGATACATAAACTAGCTGATCTTGATATTTCAACATAATTACATGCTGTTGAAACTTGGTTGTTGTATTCGTTAAGCGATACTTTGTTTAGGAATTCTAAGACCATGTAACATCTATAGACCAGAACATTAGTACATTTATATTGCCTGACCTTTTTGCCTACTTTTAGAGGGGATGCCCCACTTTCTCATAGTGAGAAATAAAATTTGTTTCTCACATGACATTTTCGTAAATAAACCAACAACTTTATTCAACTTTATTCAATTGTGGAGCCCACAATAATGAAAAAATTGTTGATTTATTCACGAAAATGCCATGTGAGAAACAAAATTCGTTTCTCAATATGAGAAACAGGGAATTTCCCCTTGTATTATGCATTCTCAAACAGATAATTAGTATAGAGTTCTAGAAAAGTGAAGGAACATTATCACGATGTTGCTTTTCCTAAATATTGCAAATAGTAATCGCGGGAGGGAAAACTTGATCAACTAATTAGGTGTACATATTTACATATCTTTCATGACATACTACAATTTAACTTCAAATCAGATTTCAATTTTGTGTCATTGTGGAAACTAATGAATATTGTAGTTGTAGATACCTTTTCTATGTATTTAACTTGATTGTTACGAATTTACCTTTTTAGAAGTTTTTCAGATGAAATAAAAATAATGATATTTTTACTATCTTGAAGCTATTATTATAGAATAAATGTGCAATGTTCTGATATATATTGTTATAGCAGGTACATGACCTTCAAATGCAACTGTTTGCTCATATTATGGTGCTAAGAACTCATGCAACTGAAAAGCCTAACAGTAGTAACATCTACAATTTTAAGGTACTGGAAAATAAAGCTTGCCTTTGCTTTCAATTTATTTTTAATTTAAGATGTAATTTCTAGTGCTGCTGATGATGATCTGAAAAACTACGTTACCTTCAACTCATGGCATGTGTTTATGGTTTAGATTTTTGGGGTTACTTCTATTGCTGAACTTATTCCTTTGCTCTTTCAATTCCGTACTTCTAGTTTAAAGGATACCTCAAGGACTCGAGTAACATATTCTTCAGTCTACCAGAAAATTAAAGGATTTGTTTTTAATCACAATTAAAGTGCCATTCATCTGTTCTTGACTTCTAGTAGTTCAATAACAACCAGGTTTTCTTCTTTAGGCATGTGTTATTGCAGAGTTATCTCAAATTACAAAAATCTCTTGCCTAATTCATTGTCTTGATCATCCCAAACTAGTATATTCTGATGTATAATCACTCATAGCTTATTAAGTACTAATACTCTTCTTTCTTTGCTCTGTTGATAAAACTTCCTGCTGGTTCAGTTTGTTTTCCTACCATTACCCATTTTTTCGGCTATTGATGATTTCAACCTCCTAAAATCTTTTGAGTTATTCAGCGCCAACTGAAATGTAGTGTTAATTCATGTATCCAACTTAGTATTCCATGAATAATGCTTGTTAGTTCACTTAACTTTGTCGATACTCATTCTTGCATAGTTCAAAAAAAAAAAAAAAAAAAAAAAAAAACCCATTTTTGCTGATATTGTATGCTCTTCACTTTTTATAACTGGTAAGAAGATACTTCTTCCGTGTCATGTACTGTGTAAACTTTTGTAAAATAAACAATCACTTTCAAAGTTGTAAATTTTACTCCTTTTTATGCTATTATAGTTAATCATTAGTCATAGACTCGTAGCCAATGACTATAATAGAAGATATCCATTAAGGATGAAAATTTCACAGCTGCACCAAACAAAGTATTGTATTAACCTATTACGGAGCATCTGTAAGGGAAGGGCAATGAATTTGACTTCTACATACTGCTAGTAGGTGATTTATAGTCAACGAGGTATTTTATAATTTTCAAGTATCATTTTTTTTAATTTTAAACAATGAGATGATTTGTACTATTTTATCTCATGTTTGCACTAGAAACTTGTAGAAAGCTAGAAGCAATAGCATATAATCATTTGCCTAATAGCATTGCACATACTCTCTTATTTCAGGTGACAAACATCATTGGTTCTACAGTTCTAGAGCTGCAGAAAGTTTGTCCACGTTCAGACATTCATCCAAGGATTAATGTCATTTCATAATTGCAAATGATCAGATCCCGGGCAGAGTGTTTTAGTTACGCTGCAAACGTGCCAAGTAGAATGAAGATTGTCAAAGCTAGGAAGTTTCGACGCTATTTATCACAGTAAGCAACAGTGTGGCTAAGATACACTGCTATAGTACCAAGAAGCATCAGATAAGCATAAATTGGCATTTCTCTGTTTGAGCTTGATAGCAACTTTGTTTAGCCAATATACTCGAGACCGCTCTATATGTTGCAACTTCAAGGTTTGTTATTGCCTTAAATTGTTGGTATTTTTCATTTATGATTCAGAGACAAGTCATCAGGATGCGCCTTTTATTACTAGAGAGACATAAATTGGGGATTTGCTTTTCACTGTCAGTGTATATGCATTTCATCTGTTTTTGACTTTTCATCTGGTTGTTGTTCAATAGCAACCAGGATTTCTGCTTTTGCTCCACACGTTTAGTAATTTCTACTATACTATTGATGATCAATAGCTTTAGGAAGCACTAGTACTAAGAATATTTATTTTTTGTCATTTCAATCTCCTAGAGTAATTCTCCTGATGATCTAGCTAGCACTTGAGTTGCAAGTATGCACAAGAAAACTGGAAAGTAACGTAAAAAATAAAAATTCCCTATTAAAATTGCTCGTAATTTTTATTATCAGGCGACACATTTTTGGTTCTTGAGCTGCAGAATGTCTCTCCATATATAGCTCAATCTAGTTGTTGACATTCATTCAAGGATTACTGAGGTGGCGTGTAATTTGTGGATTAATACATCCCCGGCATAATCTTTTGGTTACACCACAGCCATATCAAATAAAAGCAATTGGGTGAGCAAGATACACAATTATAGTACGAAGCAACATATATTATATGGTGGCATACTGGCATTAGACATCTGCACGAGTTTGTGGCAGCTCTCGCGCTTTGGTTAGGCAAGTTACTTGGGACGATTTCAATGTCTGCAAGTGTTAAATCAGATTTCAAATAATAAATTAACTTGATTGAGTCACTAAAACGATTGGATTCTCAATTGTTCTATTTGTTCTTTAATTTACTAATTACTTCTTATCAACCATTTTCTCTAACAGTAAAGGCCCAAGCCTTGTTATTTAGCTAAAGAAGCATTAAAAAGAACAAGTCACAGTGGTATCAAACAAGTATTGTATCAACCTATAAATGATGGTAACATCTTACCATGGCCTTCCTCCAAGCATTAAAAGCATTTATATTAAAGAGTGTCCGTATACTTACAGAGAATGGAAGATTCTCGTCGCTTCTGTCTCAAAGTCAACCGAGCTCTGCCCACTCAAGTAAGTTTACTTAATTAATGTTATACATACATCTTATATGTTTACATCAGCTTAAATTTTAATTGATACTTCTTCAACAAAATAAAAAAAGTTATAATTGATACAAACAATCCTAACTATCAATGGAACTTCACTCAAGCAAAAAAGCAGTAAGTGATTTTGACGAATTTGACCATTTCAAGCTAGTTCTATATGCCTTTTTTGTTATTTTTTTTTTGGCATCCTCAAACAGATGATTAGTATAGCATTCTAGAAAAGTGCAGGAACATTTACATTATAATGATGCATATAATAGTGGTGGGAGGGAGAACTTGATCAATCTACTAGCTATACTTATTTACATATCTTTCACAACATACTACAGTTTAACTTTAGATCGGATTTATATTTCATGTCATTGTGGAAAGTAATGGATATTGTAGTCACATACCTTTTACAAAGTATTATGGATACAAATTTACTTCTTTAGATGTTTTTTAGATGAGTTATAAAATAATAGGGAAATACAAAGTATTATTTTTATGTTGGAACATATTATAGAATAAATGTGCTGTTCTGATATATTGTAATAATATCAGGTACATGACTTTCACATGCAGCTGTTTGCTCATGTTATGGTGCTAAGAAACTCAAGAAACTGAGAAGCCTAACAGTAGTAATAGCATCTACAATTATAAGGTATTGCAAAAGCTTGCCTTGGTTTCAATTTTAATTTAAGATGTATTTTCAATTGCTGCTAATGGTGATCTGAAAAACTGTTACCTGATGACTTTTGACTCATAGCATGTGTTTACTATCTAGCCTTTTGGGTTTTTTTTTGGAATCCTCATTATTATTCATGTCTAAAGTTCTATTGTTGAACTAATTCCTGTGCTTTTTTTTTTTTTTTTGTTGAGAAAACTAATTCCTGTGCTGTTTCAATTCTGCACTTCTATTGCTGAACTGGTTTTTGGCATTTTTCACTTTTGATTCAGGGAGGAAGTATATTTTGACTCAGGTAGCATGTTCTTCTATTTAATCAGTCAGAAAAATTAAGATATGTTATTAACCACTAGGTTTACTTTTTTTGGCACATATTATTGCAGAGGTATCTCTAATGATGATAGCTCTTTGCCATTTTATTGTCCTGGTTGATCAATCTAAAGTAGTATGTTCTGAAGTTAATTTCAAGTCACTCATAGCTTCTTAATTACTATTACTCTCCTTTCTTTTCTCTGCTGACAAAACTTCCTATGGAGTAGGAGTACTGCTTTTATTTCCCACCTTAAGTAATTTCTCCTCTACTACTGGTGTTTTCAACCTCCTAAAAACTTGTGAGTGGTTAGTGTTCATTTATATACCAAACTTAGTAGTACATCCCTAAAACATGCTTGCTATTAACTTAGTTATTATCATGCATGTTTTTTTTAAGCTAACTCGGATCTTATATTAAGTATATGAATATGAGTCACAGTTTTCACTTTATTAGCGTCATCTTAATTCTTAATTAGGTAAATTCTTTCTCATCTGTTTACCAAAAACTTCTGAGAGTTAGTATGTTCACTTGTTTATTATATGTCATGTTTTACCATGTGTTGATAGAATGATTGATTCAGTTGGTGATCTAGCACTTTATTTTATTGCACAATTGGACTAAAAACAATGGCATATAATCTTTTGCCTAATAACATTGCACATACCTTCTTATCTCAGGTGACAAGCATATTGGTTCTACCCTTCTCGTGCTGCAGAAAGCCTCTCCAAGTTCAGACATTCATTCAAGGATTACTGTCATTACGACTTTGCAAGATAATCAGATCTCTGGCAAAGTGTTCTGGTTACGCTGCAGACGTACCCCAAGTAGAAGATTGTCAAAGCTAGAAAGTTTCGACGTTGTTTATTACATTAAGCAACAGCGTAGCCAAGATACAATGCTAATTCTAGTCTTCTTTTGAGTAAATTATGGTCTGTTTTTAGTACCCTAATAACCTGTATTATTCACAAAATCAGAGTATTTGATCTCGGTTTTTGGGCGAAATTCATAAAATCAGAGTTTCGATCTCGGTCAACCAACATCAACAACAACAACGGCGCATTCATTAACAACTACGGCCAACCAACATCAACAACAACAACGGTGAAAGCGTTTTCGATCTCGGCTTTTGCGCAAAAGTCTCATATTTTTGTAGATCTAGTTTTAATTTAAGTTAGATTATAGATTTACTTAGTTTTTTATGTAATTGTAATTTTGATTATAAATTTGACTAGATAATTGTATTTCTTTTAATTTTTAATGTATAATTATCGATTTTTTTAAATTTTTTTATGATATTCTAATTAAATATGTAAATCTACTGGTTTTGATTTGTTTGTGTAGTATTTTTCGACTTTTTTGGCTTCATTTTTGTAATTTGTTTCGATTTTGTTACAAATTTAGTGGGTTATGTTTTCGAGTTTTTTTTTTTTTGGGTGAACGGTGGTGGGGGCTGGCGGGGAGTGGTGGGGGCTGGTGGTGGTTAAGGGGGAGGTTAGGTGGTGGGGTTAGGGTTCGTTTGAGGTTGGCGCTAGAGGAGTGCTCAGTGGTGGGGGCTAGTGGTGGTTAAGGGGGAGGTTAGGTCGTGGCGTGGTGATGGTGAGTGGTGGGGGCTTTTTTTTATTTTCTGGGTTTGACTTTCCGACGGAATTTTCCGGCGGGTTTGTATTCCGTCAGAAAGTTCTGACGGACTTTCCGGTGGCCGGAATAGCTCTTTCAACGAAAATATTCCGTCGGAAAAAACTGTTCCGACGGAATTTTCATAGGAAAATGTCGTTTTTCCTACACATAGGTTTATGACGACCTATTCCGACGGAATTCCGTCGGAAACAGTCAGATCCGACAGAATTTCAGGATATTTCGAGGGAATATTTCCGTCGTTGATTGGCTTATTTCTTGTAGTGCAAAACTATAAATACTTGTAACCTAGCTTAATTATTAATATTTCTTATGTATAATAGCCGTACGTGATTTCCATCCTTTATTCCTAGCAAGAAAAAAAAAATAATCTTTTAGCCAATATTAATTTCTTTGATGATCAATCTCATAATTATATATATTATCAGTACTTTACAAACCCATTATAGTTTCTCATGTTTTGAGTGGATCAGAGATGGAGTTGCTCTGGTTTTGCGCATAGTTATAATATTTGGGTGTTAATTCTCGAACGGTAATCACATTTAGTTGTTTTGGAGTTGTTTGTCTTCTCGTATTATTATATGTAATCACATCTTAATTCTTGGAATTGTATGATGATATACTGTTTGTATTGATTATACTTCGTATTGTTGTGTGTAAATTTTATAATTTCTTGTCTGTATGATCAAGATTATATACGTATGATTAGTGTGTTGTATTATATGATTTAATTTTCTTGTTGTATATGATTGATTGTATATATATATATATATATATATATATATATATATAAAAAAAAAATATATATATATATATATATATATATTTTAGGGTTTCTAATGTTGTTGCTATAGGGAGTATTGTTTTATATTATTGAGGTTTTAGTGTTATTAATGCAGAGTATTATTTTTGGGTTGTGAGTTAATTATATTTGGTTTATAGTTTTATTGCCTATAAGAGTTGAGATATATATGAATTGAATTATTATGTTATTTTGGGAACCTGTGCCATTGTTGAGATATTATTATTAATCCGTGAATGGTAATTTGATCGATGTATGAGATCAAAAGGTTGAGAATTACTATTTTTTTCTTGGTTTGAGGCTCGGCGTTATAGACCTTAGTGTTTTATCCTTGGCATGTTGGTAAGGAGATAATAATCATGGGTTAAGAATGAGATACAACCTTTTTTTTTTATAGTTTTCTATGGTCCTCCTATAGGAGGATTTGGCCCATATTGGTCATGGTTAGAGGTGCTTTCTGGTTATTGAGGGTATTCAAGTTTTTATACTTGTTGGTTTATTTATTCGAATTACCCATGTTCAAGGCTAGGTCTAGAACAAATTAAGAGCATGGCACACTTATGGGATAGATGAGTTAATTGAGTAAAAGATCGTATTATTATTCGAGGTTGGATTTGACAAAGGTTATTTCCAGAGTACAATGTGTAATGTAGTTTTGAACTACATCGTTTAATTGAGCTAGTAGTGTTAATTATTCTATTATTCTCTGCATTCTGATATGTGATGATTACTCAGCTTTGCTGACGTGTGTGATGTTTTGTTGTGCTACTTGTGTTTGCGGCCATGTCTTTTTCTTATGGTGGCCCTACGACGATCTATATTGGAATTTGTCCTTAATGGTGAGCATTCAAGATTATTTAAACAGGTTGATCAAGTGATCGTAGCTAAAGGAGCTCAAGTGTTTTGATTAGTTTATTTTATAACGAGTTGTAAATAAATAGCTCACTTAGTTTATTGAGTTGTAATTATTGGGATTTTGTAAGCCTTAGCACTTGACAAGTTGTTCAGTGTGGCGGTAGTACCTTCGATTTAGGTGTATGCTTCCGCATTTTTATTTAAAGATTGTTTATTTTTCCTTTAATTCCTTGTTTATTATTAATTAGTAAATCGGGGTGTTACAACGGCGGCGGGGATGGGGTTGGCTGGGTAGTTTAGGGTTTTGTTTTGTTTTTTTTTTTTAATTTTTAATTTTTCTTTTTTTTTCTAAACTAATAATATGACGACATATGGTACAATGGATCCCACTTAACGGTTTTTTGGACGGCAACCGTTAAGTGGTGGTAAAATCAAATTTTAAAACAAATTTTATGGTGTTAAAATAAATGTTTTTTTTTTGTAGTGTTAAAATCCATTTTTGCGTTTTTTTGTGGTGTTAAAATTCAAAATTTTCTAATGTAAATTTAAACTTTAAGACCTTCCAAATTAAAATCATTCTAGAACGATAAAAGAAGTCCAAAATACATACTACCAGTACAAGTTTGCGACTTTTACAAATGATCACATCTCTTGTTTAATATGGCGAGTATATAGTTACATTATTTTCCCTAACATCATCGCTTGAACGCACACGTGAAATCAATTTCTAACATCAATACAAATACTTAAATAACCACCAATTGAATACTCCATGTCAATTTTCAAGTGTGAAGATGTACTTTCTCTAGAGTTTTAACAAAAGTAGCAAAGTGCAACTCTCCCGGCTTTTTTCTAACCCTCTAGATTCCATTCTCCCTTCCGTTTTTTCTCGTTTTCTCGTTACATTACCAAGTATCCGTACTCCTTCTGTCACTAAATAAATGTCCCATTCGCATTTTACGCAAGTTAAAATCACAATTTTTTAAAAATCCAACCAACCTCTTCCCACCCGACGACTACGACTACATGATCTTCCTCACTAATTTTAAAACAAATAACAGTCAAACTCCATTAATTATAATCAATCTACCCAACAAATTTTCCAAAACAAAACTCCATTAAAGCAACTCAAATACATCCATTGAAGAAGAAGTAACAACCCTTTTGAAGGGGAGAACAATAATGGAACTAGAAGTTAAACGAAGAACAACAAAATCCCTAATTTCGAAGCTAAGTTCAGTATCAGATCAAACCCGAATCGCAGCACTTTGTGAGCTCCGATTACTCACCAAAAATGACCCAGAAATCCGACCCATAATCGCCGAAGAAGATGAAGGTGCAGCAATCTCTCTCCTCGCTGAAACCCTTTACTCTCCTACACCATTAGCGCAAGAAAACGCTGCTGCAACTCTGCTTAATCTCTCAATTTCCTGTAAAAAATCCATCATGTCAACTCGTGGGGTTCTCGATTCTCTCTCCTATATTCTCTCTAATCACCGCACACACCCGCCTGCCGCCGTGCAATCCGCCGCCGCTGCGATTTACAGCCTTTCCGTTGAGGAGAATTATCGTTCTGTAATTGGGGGTAAAAGGGATGTTGTGTACTCTTTGATTGATATTGTAGGGTTTCGGGAATCGCCGTCTCGGTCAATCAAAGATGGGTTGAAAGCGCTTTTTGGGTTGTCTTTGTGTCCTTTGAATCGGCCTTTAATGGTGGAATTTGGGGCAATTGAATCAATTTTTAGGGTTGTGGTGAGAGATGGGAGGATTGGAGTGATTGAGGATGCAACTGCTGTGATTGCGCAGGTTGCTGGGTGTGTAGAGAGTGTTGAGGCCTTTCGAAAGGCGGCTGGGGTTCGGGTTTTGGTTGATTTGTTGAATCCTGAGACGGGTTCGAGCTCGAGGATTAAAGAGAATGCGGTTTCTGGGTTGTTGAATTTGGTGAAGATTGGTGGGGAGGAGGTTGGGGAGGAGATTAGGGAGGTGGGTTTAGGGTTGGTTTTTGATGGGTTAGGAGAAGTGGTTGATAGTGGGAGTGATAAAGGGAAGAAAAGAGCTCAAGCTTTGTTGAAGATTCTTGAGGATGGTATGAGTCTGAGTCACAAGGATGCCAATGATTCCGGTTCGGATTTGTATTCTGGTCCTTTGGTAGATACTTCGAATTCGTTTTCGTATTGATTGTGTTAGCATGATGTTTGATGATTATAGTGTGTCATAGTTGAAAAAAAAAAAACAAAGGACTTTCCAAGGATGATTGACTGATAGAGTATGTGATGAATGTGTTCTTGTTGTTCTCCTCAAGATTATGAGATTAGGGTGTACAAAAGATTTGCCTCATTGTAAATTCTTTTATTCAATGTATTACGTTAAACTTGTCACTAATGCAAATTCAATGCCCGATTCTTGTTCTTCTCTGATATATTTGTTTCTCTTTATCTGTTGGAAAAACATGTAGCAGTTCTGTTCTCAGAAATGACTTGCTGCATTGAGCTATATATGCGATTGTACGCACTATAACATTCTTACAGTCTTATGGTTATATACTTATATATGATTAATAGATTTTGGGGTTGCTGTAGGTTCTTTCTACGAGCCAAAATGCATTTAGTATTACTGGAGAACTCTTGTACATATACTATCATTTTGCTTGTTTGTTCTTTTCTTTTGCTGCTGCGCTCCAGTTTGACTTTGTGTGTAGAAATTATCTTATCTGCTTTGAAATTTTGCTGGAGCTTATCTTCATGAACTATGAAGCTTATTATGGGGGATTGCTAAATTCAATACAACAACCACCCAAAGAATCCCGCTGAGGTAGGAAGAAGGTCCAGAGGTACACAAACTTACTTCTCTCTGGTTGATACAACTCAATTTACTTAGAAGAAGATTGCATTTTAACTTTTTTGTCTCTGTGTAGAGATTGATCAACACTTAGAGAACTCTAGTTAAATGTAGCCGTAGTATTTGCTTACATGCCTGTATGATCAAAACAAAATTGCTTTGCTAACTTTCATATTACGCTGCCTGATTATGAAATGCCACTGCTGTCTCAACTACCTAACAACCAGGCTGTAAAGGGTGGGATTTTTGCAGTTTGCTGATGTTCAGCGTGATTTGGCTAGTTTTGCCGCATATGGCTCAGGATTAATGCCTACTGGATGTTCATTGATATGCAATGATGGTATTATCACAACATGCATGAACAACAGCAAAGCTCCACCTTAGCCATACTTATTACAGCACAATTGTAGCTTGACTAATTTTTCTGTTTTTTTTTCCCTTCTCTTTTTTACACCGAAGGCAGGTCTACATTTAAAATAATTCTGTTTCACACTCTCATTGCAGGCTTGATCATGGTGTGAGTCAAAATCAGAACATGGTTTCATTTTTAGTATCTTGTTTGATTAGTTAAGGAGTATTTGGCACTTGCCACTTCATCAATCATCCGTTTTATCATATTCCCATATGAGCTATGAATCCAACAATGGAGCTATTCAGGATCTGCAGGGCTTCTTTTTGGGTCGATGATGTAGTCTGTTGGGCAATATATGGCTTCTTTACATTATTGTTCAGTTATTTGAGATTTTGAGAGCCATATCGTCACCCCCCTTTCCTCTTTCAGTCGTTACACTCAGGTTTGTGCATAAGGTCTGGGAAGAGATCATATGTTCGTAGATGATTCAGACATTCAACTCCTCTCCATTGCACAAGCTTATGGTCTTATAAAACACCAATACATAAGTAGGTGCTGGACTTGTTGATTTTGGGGGTGAGAGCAGAACTGACCTGAATTCAAGTGTCTAGGAGTCTTGAATCTGGATGCCAACTTCTTTGTTGACATATTAATATTAAACATGGGTGCATTTGGTGATAAACACTTTTGAGAAGATAAAGATAGGTGCATTTTTATCCCTACTGATAACTCATAACTTATAACAGGTTAGATCACAGTTGATGTACGCCTTGTAACAGTAAGAGAGCCTGCATCACCATTGTTAAATATGTGTGTCATATACTCGTATGTATCCCTACATTTAGAAAAAAAGTAGAACCTGCAATTTTCATCTGAAAGTCCGATTTTACATAAATTATTTGATCTTGAAAGAAGTATAGCAGAAGTTTTTTTACTGTTAAATTTGAAGGATCAAACCCAAAGTTTGCAAATGCTGTTTAGAAACTTGAAAGTTGGAAACTTGGGGTTGGATGACCCTTATGTTCCATTCTTAAATTTTAAAAAATCGTTTTAGAGAATTTTATGCTATTTTTATGTCACGTGCCCTGGTTTTTCATGTTTTGCTCATTTTAAGCCCCAAAAATGTTCTGGTTCAGTTCTGAGGAGAGCTTTTGAACATACCTTGAAATGCTAGTTGTATGGGCAGAGAGAATCGTCAAGTAAAGCTGCATTTTCAGTTAAGTTTCATTAATGTACTTCTAGTAACTGATGCTTTGTATTATTCTTAAATTTTGACTTTGTTGTATCAGAGTCAGAAGAGAATCAACTCAGATAAGGTTTATGTCCTGGTGAATTGATTGCAATGGACTTATTCCTGATAGGAGTCATGATCAGTTGGTTGTCAAGCTACAAGTCAATGCCTGCCTATGTGGTTGCATGGTAGTTGATTGGCCCCTATGTGCTTTGTTTTTCAGATTTTACTGTTGCATATTGGACTAGGCTCTCAGTAGTATTTACGCCTGTCGATCCAGTTCTACTCCTGGTGCAGTAAAACTTTAATACTGATAGCTCTTATCTTTTGCTCTTACTGTTTGTATTATATTAAGATCACTGTTTGTTAGTTGTTTTACTCTCCATTTTTTTGGGAATTTTCGACTTACAGTGTTTTTAAGTATAGTAGTATTCTGTAAATGTTTGCAGATGAGGGGCTGTTGGAACTAAGAAAAAAAAAAAAAAATGCTTGAATTCAGTGTTGACTGCCCCAAATTTGCTGCATCAGATACTGCCTGTGTTGCAGCCTGTTTCAGGTATGCAACATTGCTCAAATTCTGCTTCTGGACTCTGGAGCAGAATTCTCAAGGGATTTCTTGTTCTTTACTTCTCTGGCATTCTTTTGGTTAACAGCAACAAAAACACAGTTTATCAAACTACTTAAGCAATTAGTTTGTCTTAATTCTTAAATATTATGACAACTGGTAATTTTACTATACTCATAAGTCATTTGCATTAGCGGTTTAGCACTCCTTAAATCCTAGATCATCTCATATGCACTTGAAGCATTCTAGTCTAAAAGTCTCCTATCTCTGTAATCGAAAGACAATTCTATCTGGGTATTCTGTCCTTCCATCTGCACTATGTATATCCTTATGATTTCATTGTTATCTATGCCATTTTCTTAACTAGTTCAATATTATGATCAACCTAGCAAAACTAGCAATAAATGTTGCATTTAGCAGGCTTAGGTTGATTAGTATCGGTAAGGTCATTTAATGTAAAACTCGTATTTTGGTTTAATTTTTAATAATCAGGGTTTTATAAGGAGTGTAGGCTAGTTATATTCATTGAAGTGGTGTAATCATCAAATTTACAAAGTTGACATGTCAATAATCACTGCTTTTAGGAGGGATTAAAAGACTAACAGAGCACTACCTGTCTATTTTCCTTCCACCAATTAAAGAGTTTTTGACTTTTTCCCTTTTTCAACTACCTTTCAACCATCTTTTATGATACCCTAACTCTTTTACTCTCCCTTTTTTCTTTTGCGGTTTCATGTAGATGACCATTTCTTGTTGTCTAGAGACTTTTTCAATCTTGGTGTTTGTATATCATCACAAACCACTGCTTCCTTTAGTCACTTGTTTTGATTCGTTTTGGCCGAAATTCGGGTCCATTTCCCTTGAATATCAGGAGAAGCCTAACCTTTTATAAATGTCCACATCTTGGTTACAAGCCTCTTCTAATTATAGTTCATTACTTATAAATTCAGAATTGACTTAATGCGGAACTTTTTTTTTTCCCTTTCCTTTCCAGATAGGACAAGTATCTCTGGTGACTCCATTATCTGTCCAGGAGCACAACTGGTAAGTTCTCCCCTTACTAGTTAAAATGTTTTACCAACATAATAATCGCCGGTGCTTTGGAAACTCAATTAAGTAGGTATGCCTAGCCATGTCTGCATAAACTCAGGTTTGATGGTATGGTCGGAATTGCTTTAGTTTTATCTTAAGCACATTCATAACATATGGATAAAGCTTACTAGAAAATGTGGCTGGTGCATGATTCCCAGAGCTATATCTAGAGGTTTAAACTCTCGTGGAAGGACGACTTAGCAAAACCAACTTGTACCCAATCATCCGAACTGTACCCAATTTATTTAATCTGAAAATGACCTGACCTAAAAATCAATCTGACTGATAATTATTGATTTATCATAGTAAGTTAATTGACTATATCCCGTAATGAACAGACTTCTCTAGGAAAATTACAGTGCTAGACACAAGGTTAAAGTACCCAGACCATCAATGTTAATGTTATCTTGTTATCAACTCTGAGACCCTTCTGAATTGATCTAGAAGTGAGTCAAGTGACCATGTAACAACTAGTCTCAGAGTGACCATGCTGTTTTAGGGGTCAATTCTATACCAAGCTAAGTAATAAGAAGCATTATCCTTGTATCAGTGGTGAGATATTTTTTTAAAGATTCCTTTAGTCATAGTGTGATAGTGATGAAAGAAAATAATTCATGAAATGGTCATGTACTGTGATACTTTTTGCAAAAAATAACCATTGTTGTACCTTGGCACAAATAGTTAGCTACTTGGCTAGAGCCTAGAAAAGCCAATTGGGGATCACTCATCAAACACTTTGTAAAAAAAAAATGTTTTGCCTTCTGTGGGCCCTCTGTTCTCCTTCTGATCTAGACATCTAGCTTTTTTTTTTCTAAAAGGAGGATATATGACTGAGAAGACATCATCAGTTCTTGCATGGTTCTTAAACTATTGCGACTGATAACTTTAAGTACTACCTCCATTCATATGATTTTTGTTTAATGAACTAAACTAGAGTTAGCTTTTGGTTACAGTATTAAAAAGGAAAGATAAGATAAAATTGTCTGTCCCTAATTAGTTGCCTGACTATTCGACAATCAACTTAATTTATGTTCAAACTCCGATTATAGTTTTAACACCTCAACAACATGACTCCAAAATTCAACCAAAATAACGAAAACGACTTTGGACACTTTATAATCGTATCAAATGAGGAGACCACACCGTAGCACCAAGGGATGCCTAGAATGGAACTCTACCAAGTACCAAGATTCTTTTGCACAGTAAGAGAACATATTTGTAGCAATGGTGACTTTGATACTTTCATGTAAGAACCCAAAGTACCATAATGACCCATTTCTGTAATAATGTGTGTATTTATTATAGTAACATGCATATGCCTAAACACCCCGAAGAAGTACTAATGCAGTTTTGTTATGTATTTGCAAATGCATAACAGATACGTAGTATAAAAATATTAAAAAGTACATGGAAGAAAGAGAAAGGAGGAGAGAGATAGGTAAGTGGGACTACTATTAAATGTACTACTGAAAGCTTATATAGTACTATTGTCTATTTAGTGATACTATTTTTACAATTAGTTAGTACCACTGAATGCATATGTAGTACCACTACATGCATACATTGTACCACTGAATGTTCAATGATACTCTTTGATCATACAATGGTAGTATTGATCACCCAATGGTACTACTCTAAATTTCAAATATGCATTCAGAATATGCATTTACGTGTAATTACACCCTTTCCCCTTGTTTGCATATCTATGTGCATAACGAAACTCCATTAGGACAAGCTCTAAACACCCCTTTCCCCCTTTTATGGTTAGTTTACCAAAGTGAGGATAAATCATAAATGTGATGTAAGAAAAAACCCCTAAGAGTAGCTAAATTACATTGCTAATGTTGAAGAATCTTTTTTTCTCAATGGTAAAAGTATGTTGGTGTTGAATATGCAAGTGTTTTAAATGACTTGATTTCTCGAAGCTTATGTTGTGATTTGTTGTTGTATTTTTGAACTCTCTGTGATTAATGTATGATTAAACCGATGTGTTTTGAATGACTTGATTTCTCGAAGCTTATGTTGTCATTTGTTGTCGTATTTTATGAACTCTCTGTGATTAAAGTATGATTAAGCCGATGTGTTTTGAATGACTTGATATCTCGAAGCTTATGTTTGTGATTTGTTGTTGTATTTTTTGAACTCTCCGTGATTAATTCCGTATGATTAATTAATGTATGATTAAACCGATGTCGAAAAAAAAAGTATTGAGTGGTGGTGACTGGTGAATGGAAAAAATATGGGATTAATTTAGAGGAATTTAAGTGGGTGACAGTACCACGTGAATTGACCACTACTGTTCATGGCATCCTTATTGGCTTCATATCAACGCTAACTGCCAAAGTGTATGTGGCATTCCCTAAATTAAATCACCACCCCCCTTCTTAATACTATTTTAAAAAACTCCCAACCGAAATTTGGAAAAGAAATAAAGATACCTACTCCAAAATCCACAAAGTTAAAGTTACATTTCCATGATTAGCACATTTGACAAAGTATAGCATCCTTTGTTTTAGTTGCTTAGCCCACTACCCTTTCCTTTCTCCCTTTTCTTTTTTATTTTTTCTCAAATGCTAGTGGTGAATTTGTACCCTATTTCCTTTCAAATGCATGATAAGTATCTCCCTCGGATACACCAATAATGTCCATCCTAAGGACATTATTGTATTTTTGCGTCGGAGAAAAAAAAAACGTAACGTATTTCCTTTTATTCATGGTGGTACATGTATAACACCGCCACCTTAATACACTGCGGTCCACTTTAAAACTCTTTTAAAAGAGTGTATGATTGTAATCGGGATTTTCTTTATTTGCCCTCTCTCGGGGAGATGCTTAACATTCATCCACCCCCCACCCCTCTTAAAAGTTTATTGTGTGTTGTCCACTAGTACCATTGCACCATCCTATAGTAGCATACTATGTACTAGCCATTATGTTTTTATACTAATAATGCTAGTGGTTCTCTATCTTTACTTCATGAATTTTAATTTTGGCATTTAGCCCACTAAAAACTAACACCTTTCTAACCTCTAAGTGTTAGCATAAGTCATAAACTTTTTTTATGGTTCTATATGGGCATCTTTAGCAGCCAAAAGAGTAGATAGCCCCACATAGTAATTGTTATTCAAAGCTACCCTTAACAATAGATAGTGGGGAGAGTGGGAGGGGAATGAGCTTATGGAGAAGGAAACCAATCAAGATGATCAAAACCCCTCACCCACGAAACTCGAACAATCTCCCCGGAAACCACTGCTGGTTGGCGGCAGTAGTGGTGGTGATCGTTTGAAGAGAGATGAGTGGAGCGAAGGGGCAGTTTCTAGCTTGCTTGAAGCTTATGAATCAAAGTGGATTCTTAGGAACAGGGCTAAGCTTAAAGGGCAAGATTGGGAAGATGTAGCCAAGCATGTGTCTTCTCGTGCCAATAACACCAAGTCACCTAAGACACAGACTCAATGCAAGAATAAGATAGAGTCCATGAAAAAGAGGTATAGATCAGAGTCTGCCACTGCTGACACATCATCGTGGCCACTTTTTTCGAGACTTGATAACCTGCTGCGCGGGACTGGGGGAAGTACTGGACTACCATCAGCTCATTCATCACCAATGAAGGCCATTGCTGTGTCGAGTAATCCAGGTTTGGTATTGGAGTCAAGTCCTGTTGCACTACAGTTGCCTCCACTACCAATACCGCTGCCTGTGCCACCTCAGCAAGCACCTCCTCCCGTAGAGATTGCTCAAAACTCTCATGAGTCCAACGGAGCGGAGCCCATGGCTAAGGTTAGTAGAACTGAGACACTGAATTATGACCAACTCAATCAATTGAGCAAATTCATCTCTTTTTGTTTATATGCATTTTTTTTTTTTTTTTTTTTGTCATTTTTGTTTTCTGTCTGCTTCTTGTCACATTGGAGTAATGAAAATGCCTGCTATTTCCCTCTTCTGATAAAGACTTCTCACCCACCATGAGTCATAGATTGAGCCCAGGAAAGTAAATGATGAAAATGATGTATTTTTTATATATATATTTTTTTTTTATAGAAATGAGTTTTGGCTCTATTCACAGTAGATAATATAGAGAATTGTTTAACTAGACTGTGTTCAGACTCCTTTTTGCGGCGTTTTTTAGAACCATGTAAGTTTGGAACAGTTGAAGTCAAAACTCGAAGCCATAGTAAATAAGCCGCACAAAGCAAAACTACATTATCTAATTTCATTCTAGAAAAAATACCTGATCAACTTTTGGCCAAAATTAATTGACATGCAGTAGAATGGGTAGCTTCTGCTAGTACGATTTACTAGGCATTGGAGTTAGTTTTGTTAAAATCTACCTGTTGACAGTTGAGGCTTCCAAGTAGTTCCAACTATAATGAAGTTGGTAGGAGGGCTCATTCTTGTAATTACTGAGAGCTAAGGATAAGTTGTCTTCATTAGTCCAGAGTAAAACTTGAAAGAATATTATTAACTTCGTTATCCCACAACATTACACTATTACAGAAGCAAGGTAACAGCAGGCTCATGCAAGCAGTTTTTCGCATTTTACATTGAAAAGGTGTCGGAATTCTGTCTGCAAGCAACACAAGTTGGATATCAGCAGATGTTTGGAGCTTATGCTAGCTGAAAGTTGAAGAATTAAAGTTGTTCATGATATTAAATGAAAGGATTATTTTGAAGATTTGAACAAAGTTTGTTAATGACTAGAAAGGGCATCAATGCTAAAGCTACTATCAGCTTATCTATTTCTAATTAATTTATATCTTTTGTATGACAGGATTGTGACGAAGTAGCAGCAAAAGTTTCTGACCAAATCTCAGACAAAAACCATAATGATGATGATCACATAGAAACTGACAGCAGCACTCCTGCTCTTTATAGTGATGACAAAAATGGACCGAAGTTGAAGAAGTTGATGAAGATGAAGAGGAAAAAGCGCAGGAGAGAAGAAAATAGTAGTTGGGAAGATGTATCAGAGAGCATTCGGTGGCTGGGAGAAGCCGTGGTGCGATCTGAGCAAGTGAGGATGGACACCATGAGAGAGTTGGAAAGAATGAGGGTGGAAGCAGAAGCTAAGAGAGGGGAAATGGATCTTAAAAGAACAGAGATTATTGCAAATACCCAGCTGGAAATTGCTAGGCTTTTTGCCTCAACTACTGGGAAAAGTGTTGATTCTTCTTTGAGGATTGGAAGAAGTTAAATACCTTGTTGGTAATGTGGTAGTATATTGGATTGGGGAAGTGGCGGAGCATTCATGGTAAAACCGATTGTATCATGTACATGGTACAACCTCCCTCATTAATTTCTTCGGGGGAGTTTTAGGGGGTTGGGAAAGTAAGGGAAACTTACCATTGTTGAATCCTTAGCAAATTTAGGATAATAATAGATAACCTTGTTGAATAAGGTTTGCAAATACTCACCAAGACTTTTCCCGAATTTTATTTTTATTTTATCTTTCCCGCATCCTTAGGATTCCATACCCCACCCCCTAGATAAATAAATAAAGAAAAATGAAAAATTGCATAATAATAATTTTGAAGTGAATGTCATTAGGCCGAATAAGCCTTAAATATTATATGCGGCTAAAGTGGTATAACAAGTTGAGAAGATTAAAATGGACTCACAATGTTATATACGAGTATTAAATATTTGGAATTTTCTTTTATAACTTTTAGATTGTATTTAGTATATTCGAAATTGAATGGAGAAGGTAGATGCAATAGTTATATTCATTTGTATTGAAATTCAACTAAAATATTCAAATAATAAAAAGAGAACGCTTAAATAAATAAAGGCTTTCAAGATATTAATATTTAATTTAAATATTGAATTAGATGTTTGTTAGTTTAGATGAACTACTACGAGAGGGGGAGTGAATTGTAATAGGTTCCAGTTAGGTCAATCTTTTGCAGAATATAAAATAAAACTTAAAAGGAACTTAAAGTACACAAGCAACTTTTACGAGGAAACCTTCCACGGCCCAACTGGAAGTAAAACTTCAACCCTTTTCGGGATTTGCAAACCAAAGCTTCACTATAATAAGGCAACTCCTAGCTAGTTACAACCTATTACTCACGGACCTTTCTCACAAGTTCCTACCCGGCAACTTGCAACACTCACAAGCCACTACCCGTAAGCTTGCTACCTCACAGGTTCCTACTCGGAACCCTGCTATACTCAGCTCCACACTAGAAGCTTACTCACTGTGCACTCACAGCTATAATCGAATTATAGAGAATTCACACTCACACCCCAAAACCAATTACAACACAAAGACTCACTCTAATATATTATTGGAAAGCCACACATGAAACCCAAAATCAAAATGATAAAGCTTAAACCTTTGGCAAACTTACTCTTAAGCACTTAGTGGTTTTCACGCTAAAACTCTCACTTCACTTCGAAGAACTTCTTCCTTATTTATAGAAGACGTCAACTAGCAAAGTAGGGTTTTGATAAAATGATAAGTTAAAGATAAATCAGAATTTCAAACTTATCATATTAAAACAGATTTCAAGTAAACTTAATTTTGTTTTTAAAGAAAACCTTTTCTTAGTCAAATTCGTTTTTTATAAAAGATAGAGTTTTATATGAAAAAGATAAAACCAAGTAAAACAGATTTTAAAAGATAAAATCAATTAAATTCTTTTTCATAAACTCAAGATAATCTTTTACAAATTAATTAGCTTGCCAAGCTTTATCTGATTTCTAATAAGTCTCATGCATATCAATCAATTATATATTTACATCAACCCTAAATAACAAACTTATCTTTAATACAACCTAAGTTATGAAGTTCATCATTTGATTGATATCTCGAGCTTTGCATTGGTTCTTGATTCTTGAAGTCACGTTCTAGCATTACACTAGAACTCGCAGACCAAGTCATTACAACTTGCAGTCATTCATATCCAGCATTACACTGGAACTCGCAGACCAAGTCTTGTTGGAACTTGCTGTCATGCTTCTGTTAGGAAGCTCTTAATATGTTCCTGTTAGGGAACACCTTGTAGTTCCATCTAGCTTTGTTCAGAGAATTTCTTTCTGGAACTCTTTTTCTGATCTTACTTGCCATCCTTAGTCTTCTTAAGTTCCTCTGTTCCAAACCTCACTTCAACTCCCAAAGTTTACTCATTCTACAAACATCAAAACACTAGAAAACTCTTATTAGATAGAAGTTTGCTTAATCGTCAACATCATCATCAAAACCTCTTAAGGGTCAACAATGTCAAAGGATAATATCTACTCCCTAGAGTTGTTCATAATTAAACAAATGCATACTTAGGGCCTAAACAGGCACATGTACTTGTAGTTTTCATTAAAATAATAATAAAAAAAAATAAAAATAAAATGCTAAAGTGATATTTGCATGTTTAGGCTCTAAGTAAGCATTTGATGCATGTCTTTGATCCCTCAACAAATTATCTCACTCTTGCTAAGCATTTGCTATCATAAATAGTGGCGGATCTAGGATTTCCGAGATGGTGAGTCACTATCAATTATTGATCACTTGTGAAAGTACAAAAAAAAATTCCAAATTTTGTTCACAATTAATTTCAATCCAAAAATTATATTAAAAAAAATTATATTTCACCAATTGATTTCAATCCAAAAATAGGACACAAAAATCTATATTAAAACCAAATAGTACTTAAAAATTCAATCTTACAAGTCGAAAGTACTACAAATAACATTTTTGTATGATTTTCTACTTAATTGATGAGCTTTGGGGGAAAATATTAAAATTGGTTGCACACATATTGGATATAAATAGAAGCAAAATTTATTAAATTTTTTTTTTAAGAAAAGTGAGATAACTTAAGAGATCGGTTATTAAATATAACCGGCATTTGTCATTAAAATCCCAATTTAAATCTTAGAATCTTACGATTTTACGATTCATTTATGTTATACGATTCGATTTATGATTCTACCCAATTTTACATATTTTTCTTAACTAGAGAAATTCATAAAAGTTTGAAACATGCCTATACAGTTATTTATGAATATATATGGTCAATTATTGGTTGTTTGATGGGTAAACAACTATTTTCTATTAATAATTAGATTTCAAACTCATAATTTAAATATATTAAATTAATTTGGATATGACGTCTTGATTATGCATGTCGGTAGAATATTACAATTCTACGATTCGATTTTACGATTCGATTATGAGAGCCGATTCAAAGTAGAATCCGGATTTTAATAACTTTGTCAATCTCTTTAATTATAAAAGAAAGCAGCGCAAAACTCATGAAATGCAATAGTAGCATCAAAGAGACACGTTACCTAAATAACCGGTCTCTTTGATATTTTTTTTTTAAAAAAAAAAAACACTGGGCACAATGCAAAGCTCTTGAAAATGCAATAGCAGCATCAAAGAGACCGGTTATCTCTATTAACAGGTCTCTTTGATATTTTTTTTGGAAAAATTGCAAAAAATATTACAAGCTTTGGATCGTTTTTTTTTAAATAATACAACCTTTAGATTATACATAAATATTACAACATTTTGGGGTGTTAATTTTAAACAAGACAAAAAACTTACAACCTATTAAACTGGTTACCCATAACACGTGTCATCACGTAATTGGTCTAATTATTAAATTTGATTATATATATAATATATATATATATATATATATATATATATATATATATATATATATATAATATATATATATATATATATATATATTATATATATATATATATATATATATAATTGATTATTTTAGATTTTTATTATTAAATAAAAAAACAAAAAATAAACCCCCTCTTAACCCCAACAACCACCACGGCATCCCCTTCCCCGGCGAACAAACCGTCCCAACCACATCAAATTGCAGCGGAACGCGCAGCCACATCAACCCGCTGCCACCAATCAGCACCCCAATTGCAACAATCAGTAGCAGCCCGGAATCTTAAGCGGCGTCACATTACAGCAACCTGAACCACCATCGCCACCAATTCTCACATCACAGCCACCCTCACCGCTGCAGCAACCACGCCACCGCAGTCCAACTTTGCTTCTCTACCTCACAGCCCGCACACACCAAGGCCGCAACCCGCTCAATCACCTCACGCTACCACCAACAACCACCCGCCATCTCCAATTCACAAGTCCACAATTGCAGCGGCAACCACCAATCACAATCGCACCAAAAACCGCCCAGCCACTGCAATTCAAACCGCAGCAACCTGCCGCCATAAACGCACCTCAAGAAGCCCCAATTTTAGCCAATTTCGACTCAATTTGAAGAACCCATGGCTGCTATTCGGCCCCTCAATTAAGCCTCAATTGATTTGGTGCTGCTCGGTGTGGTGATTATCGATGTTTGGGAAAAGAAGGGGTGGGTTTCTTGGTGTTTCGATGGGTTTCGTGGTGGCTGCGGGGGATTAGGGTGGGTTTCATGGTGGTTGGGAAGGAAAGGAGGTTGACTTCGTGTTGCCTAGGGGAGGTTTGTGGTGGGGAGCGGCGGTTATTTGGGTTTGGGATATGAAATGGGTGAGTTACGGGGTGTTTTGGTGGTTTTTGTGGTGGTTGCAAGTGTTAGAATGTCGGGGTGGTGGTGGTTGACTGCATGCCATTGATGTGGAGAAAAAGGAGGAGAGAAGTTGAAAAAAAACAAAAACTAAAAAAGCTCAACAAATAATAAAGAAACACGTGTCCCATTAACCTGTAAAAACAAGTTATCAACCGGTTTTTGCCTATTTAAAATTAACACCCCCAAAAATTGTAATATTCATGCATAATTCAAAGGTTGTATTATTTAAAAACAACAGCCCAAATGTTGTATTATTTTTTGCAATTTTTCCTATTTTTTTTTTTTTTAAAAAAAAAATCTTTAATTAACTCCAACTTTAAAGGTTTAAGATTTTGACCATGTCTAATTGTTTATACATTAGCTAGAAAACACTTGATAATTTAAACCAATGCACGATTAATGAAGTGAAATGGTTAAAGTAGTGCATTAGAGACCGCATAAAATGTAAGTGAGTAACACTTATTAGCAAAGTGGACGTATAGTAATTATACTTTAATAAAATATTTTATATAGATTAGTATATTTGAGTGATAATCTACATTTAATATATCTATTAAAAAAAAAAACTAAAGATCAATTTTTTTTTTATTTTTACTAGTGAGTCACGTGCACCATTGTGCACATAAATAGGTCCGCCCCTGATCACAAACTCACAAGTTGAAGTTGCTCACTCACTACACGAAACCACCAAATTGACAACGGTTCAAACCCCCCCAAAGGCAACGGTTTTGAACCGTTGAGTATTTGAGGGTTGCCAAATCCAAAAAAATTGGCAACGGTTCAAAACCGTTGCCAACTGAAGCAATTGGCAACGGTTAACCGTTGTCATTGACCATGGCGCCTTTATTTTTTTTTTTTTTAAATAATTGGCAACGGTTAACTGTTGCCAATTGGTTGAGTTGGCAACGGTTAACCGTTGCCAAAGCCAATGGCGCGCTTTTTTTTTTTTTTTTTTTTTAAACATTGGCAACGGTTAACCGTTGCCAATGACCTGTATTGTTTTTTTTTTTGGCTGCACTAATATTGACCTGTTTTTTGTTTTTTTTTTTTTGGCTGCACTAATATTGACCTGTTTTTTTTTTTTTGGCTGCAATATTATTATTAATAATAATAATTATTATTATTATTATTATATATGATAATAGTAACAATAATTAGTAACATTAATAACAAAACATAAATAATTAAAATAATAACAATCGCAAGAGATGATATAAATTAGAAAAATGTTTCATGTATAGTACATAATTAATAAGCTAAGGCTAGGATTGATGAAGAGATGATATAGTACAAAAATGTATGACGATATTTACAAATTAAATGTGATGTAGGTCGCCAACATCTCCCGAATTACATGGAGTTCCTCGCTCGTGTATGGAATTCCCGTTTGCCCCTTGCAAAACTTAGAATACAAAAAACGTGAGTTAGTAGAAGTGAAATAATAATAATTGGGGTTAGTTATAGGTGTCTAATGCTTGAGATTACAAGAAAAGAGCAAGTAAGAGGTTTTGGGACGCAATTTCAACCAAAATGGCTCAAGTAAGGCCATTTTGGCTACTAGGATGCCTATTTTCTATATTTCTTGTCTATTGAACTCATAACTAGTTAAAACATGTCATTATCACTTAGTTATAGGTGACTAATGCTTGAGATTACAAGAAAAGAGCAAGTAAGTGGTTTTGGGACGCAATTTCAACCAAAATGGCTCAAGTAAGGCCATTTTGGCTACTAGGATGCCTATTTTCTATATTTCTTGTCTATTGAAATCATAACTAGTTAAAACATGTCATTATCACTTAGTTATAGGTGACTAATGCTTGAGATTACATGAAAAGAGCAAGTAAGTGGTTTTGGGACGCAATTTCAACCAAAATTGCTCAAGTAAGGCCATTTTGGCTACTAGGATGCCTAATTTCTGTATTTCTTGTCTATTGAACTCATAACTAGTTAAAACATGTCATTATCACTTAGTTATAGGTGACTAATGCTTGAGATTACAAGAAAAGAGCAAGTAAGTGGTTTTGGGACGCAATTTCAACCAAAATGGCTCAAGTAAGGCCATTTTGGCTACTAGGATGCCTATTTTCTATATTTCTTGTCTATTGAAATCATAACTAGTTAAAACATGTCATTATCACTTAGTTATAGGTGACTAATGCTTGAGATTACATGAAAAGAGCAAGTAAGTGGTTTTGGGACGCAATTTCAACCAAAATGGCATACCTCTTCAAGCTGACGTGTGTCTGTACAATGACTCATCACTATGTCATACATGAATCTCATCACGTATAGGCCACAGTCAACTCCGTTTTCCTGTTGTGCGCACTAGCATGAGGAACAAAGCACATGAATCAAAATGCATAGCAAATAAGCAACATCTTAAGCATTGTAAAGTAAGAAAATCACAACATCATGGGTGAATTACCTTGGGTGCTTTCCATGTAGGACCTCGAGGAGATCGAGGATTTATCTTCTTCATGGTACTACAAAAAATCAAAGTAATAAGTTCAAATTTGACTAGTATAATCAATACATATGAGTTAAGATATGAAAAATGAATAATCAGAAGTGAAACAAACTAGATGCTTACTTTTGCAGTATGGACCTCACGAGGCGCTTTCTTACTTGAGGTAACCGAGCAGAATCAAAGTAGAAGATTGTGTTACTGGAAACACAAATCACAAGTAGGGTCCAATGATAACTACACACGAGACAAACAAATCAATAGTTAGCCTATTACAACAAATAAACTGGGAAAACAAATGAACTTGACTAGCATAATCAGACGTACTCCTCATAGTATGGGACGAATATGAACTTGTCTCCCGCACTCACTGATTGCCTGATACCCCGTTCAGCATAGTATAACACGTCAGCGGAGTTGCCTAAGATTCTAGTAGTGGACATCTGCTCAGGGCACAACCACCCAACTTGACAAGGAGATTCAAGCTCCCATATTTGCTCCTGGAGTGCTCTGCATGCATGATAACACAATGTTAATCGAAAACCAAACGACAAACACCACTAAACTGAATAATATAAATTGAGTATCAGTTGAATTACCTCATGGATATTTGAATGAGGGAAATGTTAAGCATTGCACCACTTAGAAATTCCTTCACATCTTCTTTGAATAGCCATGCTGTTGCATCATCATCGTAGTGGAACATTTCCTTAGGAAGTTGGATTTGGATGGGGCTGTCATTAGGCAACACGCAAACACGGTTGTGCAAATAAGCTAATTCCTGAGATAGCGATTGAAGCACCGTGTCTTCAACTAATGGAGTAGCTTGCGTAGCTGAACATCGTGAAGGGCTCTTCATCGACGCTTTTCCACTCACCGAGCCATGTTCACTCCTGTTCTTTGGCCCCTCCACCCTCTTCTTTGGAGTTTGACTTTTCTTCGATGGCTAATAAGACAAATCATATAAATAGTTAGAAAAGATTTCCATCCAACTCTTGGGAAGAAAAGATTAAATCGTGAAATCTAAATCTTAATTACCTGGTTCATCAACCGTATCCAAGCAGTTGGCCATTGCACAAAACTACCTTTTGCTGCCCAGAGTGTAGTGAACTCATCCTCCTCCACGGGCACAGGTATTAAGATCTCCTCGAACCCGGGAACCACATAATGGATCCCGACAGAATAATGCTCAGGCAGAAGAGGTCGAAGATGGACCGTGCCTTGTTCGGCCGGTTGTGCACTACCATAGGCAACAACTTTCAAAGGTCCATCATATGATTCGCCCGGGTGAAGAAGTTCACAACGGTCTCTTCCTGCACCAATTAGGAAGATACTTTATTTAAATATTCATAATTAAGCATATTAGGTGTAATATAGCAGTTAAATCAAGAATTGAGCAAAAAACATGGAAAATGGGCAAGTTAGAACTCATTTAGGCCATTTCGAGTCGTAAACACTCTAAATGAACCTAAAACTTGTGAAATTGCTTTTTTAAGGTTGTTTCAAGTCACAAATATTCATAACTAAGCATCTTAGGTGTAATATAGGAGTTAAATCAAGAATTGAGCAAAAAACATGGAAAATGGGCAAGTTAGAACTCATTTAGGCCATTTCGAGCCGTAAACACTCTAAATGAACCTAACTTGTGAAATTGCTTTTTTTTAGGTTTTTTCAAGCCAAAAATATTCATAACTAAGCATATTAGGTGTAATATAGCAGTTAAATCAAGAATTGAGCAAAAAACATAGAAAATGGGCAAGTTAGAACTCATTTAGGCCATTTCCAGTCGTAAACACTCTAAATGAACCTAAAACTTGTGAAATTGTTTTTTTAAGGTTGTTTCAAGCCACAAATATTCATAACTAAGCATCTTAGGTGTAATATAGGAGTTAAATCAAGAATTGAGCAAAAAACATGGAAAATGGGCAAGTTAGAACTCATTTAGGCCATTTCGAGCCGTAAACACTCTAAATGAACCTAACTTGTGAAATTGCTTTTTTTAGGTTTTTTCAAGCCACAAATATTCATAACTAAGCATATTAGGTGTAATATAGCAGATAAATCAAGAATTGAGCAAAAAACATGGAAAATGGGCAAGTTAGAACTCATTTAGGCCATTTCGAGCCGTAAACACTCTAAATGAACCTAACTTGTGAAATTGCTTTTTTTAGGTTGTTTCAAGCCACAAATATTCATACCTAAGCTTATTAGGTGTAATATAGCAGATAAATCAAGAATTGAGCAAAAAACATGGAAAATGGGCAAGTTAGAACTCATTTAGGCCATTTCGAGTCGTAAACACTCTAAATGAACCTAAAACTTGTGAAATTGCTTTTTTAAGGTTGTTTCAAGCCACAAATATTCATAACTAAGCATCTTAGGTGTAATATAGGAGTTAAATCAAGAATTGAGCAAAAAACATGGAAAATGGGCAAGTTAGAACTCATTTAGGCCATTTCGAGCCGTAAACACTCTAAATGAACCTAAAACTTGTGAAATTGCTTTTTGTAGGTTTTTTCAAGCCACAAATATTCATAACTAAGCATATTAGGTGTAATATAGCAGTTAAATCAAGAATTGAGCAAAAAAACATGGAAAATGGGCAAGTTAGAACTCATTTAGGCCATTTCGAGTCGTAAACACTCTAAATGAACCTAAAACTTGTGAAATTGCTTTTTTAAGGTTGTTTCAAGCCACAAATATTCATAACTAAGCATCTTAGGTGTAATATAGGAGTTAAATCAAGAATTGAGCAAAAAACATGGAAAATGGGCAAGTTAGAACTTATTTAGGCCATTTCGAGCCGTAAACACTCTAAATGAACCTAACTTGTGAAATTGCTTTTTTTAGGTTGTTTCAAGCCACAAATATTCATAACTAAGCATATTAGGTGTAATATAGCAGTTAAATCAAGAATTGAGCAAAAAAACATGGAAAATGGGCAAGTTAGAACTCATTTAGGCCATTTCAAGTCGTAAACACTCTAAATGAACCTAACTTGTGAAATTGCTTTTTTAAGGTTGTTTCAAGCCACAAATATTCATAACTAAGCATCTTAGGTGTAATATAGGAGTTAAACCAAGAATTGAGCAAAAAACATGGAAAATGGGCAAGTTAGAACTCATTTAGGCCATTTCGAGTCGTAAACACTCTAAATGAACCTAACTTGTGAAATTGCTTTTTTAAGGTTTTTTCAAGCCACAAATATTCATAACTAAGCATCTTAGGTGTAATATAGGAGTTAAATCAAGAATTGAGCAAAAAACATGGAAAATGGGCAAGTTAGAACTCATTTAGGCCATTTCGAGCCGTAAACACTCTAAATGAACCTAAAACTTGTGAAATTGCTTTTTTAAGGTTGTTTCAAGCCACAAATATTCATAACTAAGCATATTAGGTGTAATATAGCAGTTAAATCAAGAATTGAGCAAAAAACATGGAAAATGGGCAAGTTAGAACTCATTTAGGCCATTTCGAGCCGTAAACACTCTAAATGAACCTTAAACTTGTGAAATTGCTTTTTAAAGGTTGTTTCAAGCCACAAATATTCATAACTAAGCATCTTAGGTGTAATATAGCAGTTAAATCAAGAATTGAGCAAAAAACATGGAAAATGGGCAAGTTAGAACTCATTTAGGTCATTTCGAGCCGTAAACACTCTAAATAAACCTAAAACTTGTGAAATTGCTTTTTTAAGGTTGTTTCAAGCCACAAATATTCATAACTAAGCATATTAGGTGTAATATAGCAGTTAAATCAAGAATTGAGCAAAAAACATGGAAAATGGGCAAGTTAGAACTCATTTAGGCCATTTCGAGTCGTAAACACTCTAAATGAACCTAAAACTTGTGAAATTGCTTTTTTAAGGTTGTTTCAAGCCACAAATATTCATAACTAAGCATCTTAGGTGTAATATAGGAGTTAAATCAAGAACTGAGCAAAAAACATGGAAAATGGGCAAGTTAGAACTCATTTAGGCCATTTCGAGCCGTAAACACTCTAAATGAACCTAACTTGTGAAATTGCTTTTTGTAGGTTTTTTCAAGCCACAAATATTCATAACTAAGCATATTAGGTGTAATATAGCAGTTAAATCAAGAATTGAGCAAAAAACATGGAAAATGGGCAAGTTAGAACTCATTTAGGCCATTTCGAGTCGTAAACACTCTAAATGAACCTAAAACTTGTGAAATTGCTTTTTTAAGGTTGTTTCAAGCCACAAATATTCATAACTAAGCATCTTAGGTGTAATATAGGAGTTAAATCAAGAATTGAGCAAAAAACATGGAAAATGGGCAAGTTAGAACTCATTTAGGCCATTTCGAGCCGTAAACACTCTAAATGAACCTAACTTGTGAAATTGCTTTTTTTAGGTTGTTTCAAGCCACAAATATTCATAACTAAGCATATTAGGTGTAATATAGCAGTTAAATCAAGAATTGAGCAAAAAAACATGGAAAATGGGCAAGTTAGAACTCATTTAGGCCATTTCGAGTCGTAAACACTCTAAATGAACCTAAAACTTGTGAAATTGCTTTTTTAAGGTTGTTTCAAGCCACAAATATTCATAACTAAGCATCTTAGGTGTAATATAGGAGTTAAACCAAGAATTGAGCAAAAAACATGGAAAATGGGCAAGTTAGAACTCATTTAGGCCATTTCGAGTCGTAAACACTCTAAATGAACCTAACTTGTGAAATTGCTTTTTTAAGGTTTTTTCAAGCCACAAATATTCATAACTAAGCATCTTAGGTGTAATATAGGAGTTAAATCAAGAATTGAGCAAAAAACATGGAAAATGGGCAAGTTAGAACTCATTTAGGCCATTTCGAGCCGTAAACACTCTAAATGAACCTAAAAGTTGTGAAATTGCTTTTTTAAGGTTGTTTCAAGCCACAAATATTCATAACTAAGCATATTAGGTGTAATATAGCAGTTAAATCAAGAATTGAGCAAAAAACATGGAAAATGGGCAAGTTAGAACTCATTTAGGCCATTTCGAGCCGTAAACACTCTAAATGAACCTTAAACTTGTGAAATTGCTTTTTAAAGGTTGTTTCAAGCCACAAATATTCATAACTAAGCATCTTAGGTGTAATATAGCAGTTAAATCAAGAATTGAGCAAAAAACATGGAAAATGGGCAAGTTAGAACTCATTTAGGTCATTTCGAGCCGTAAACACTCTAAATAAACCTAAAACTTGTGAAATTGCTTTTTTAAGGTTGTTTCAAGCCACAAATATTCATAACTAAGCATATTAGGTGTAATATAGCAGTTAAATCAAGAATTGAGCAAAAAACATGGAAAATGGGCAAGTTAGAACTCATTTAGGCCATTTCGAGTCGTAAACACTCTAAATGAACCTAAAACTTGTGAAATTGCTTTTTTAAGGTTGTTTCAAGCCACAAATATTCATAACTAAGCATCTTAGGTGTAATATAGGAGTTAAATCAAGAACTGAGCAAAAAACATGGAAAATGGGCAAGTTAGAACTCATTTAGGCCATTTCGAGCCGTAAACACTCTAAATGAACCTAACTTGTGAAATTGCTTTTTGTAGGTTTTTTCAAGCCACAAATATTCATAACTAAGCATATTAGGTGTAATATAGGAGTTAAATCAAGAATTGAGCAAAAAACATGGAAAATGGGCAAGTTAGAACTCATTTAGGCCATTTCGAGCCGTAAACACTCTAAATGAACCTAACTTGTGAAATTGCTTTTTTTAGGTTTTTTCAAGCCAAAAATATTCATAACTAAGCATATTAGGTGTAATATAGCAGTTAAATCAAGAATTGAGCAAAAAACATAGAAAATGGGCAAGTTAGAACTCATTTAGGCCATTTCCAGTCGTAAACACTCTAAATGAACCTAAAACTTGTGAAATTGTTTTTTTAAGGTTGTTTCAAGCCACAAATATTCATAACTAAGCATCTTAGGTGTAATATAGGAGTTAAATCAAAAATTGAGCAAAAAACATGGAAAATGGGCAAGTTAGAACTCATTTAGGCCATTTCGAGCCGTAAACACTCTAAATGAACCTAACTTGTGAAATTGCTTTTTTTAGGTTTTTTCAAGCCACAAATATTCATAACTAAGCATATTAGGTGTAATATAGCAGATAAATCAAGAATTGAGCAAAAAACATGGAAAATGGGCAAGTTAGAACTCATTTAGGCCATTTCGAGCCGTAAACACTCTAAATGAACCTAACTTGTGAAATTGCTTTTTTTAGGTTGTTTCAAGCCACAAATATTCATACCTAAGCTTATTAGGTGTAATATAGCAGATAAATCAAGAATTGAGCAAAAAAC